ATGAATGTGGACGGGAGGCGGAATGAGCGATCCATCTTTGCATGGGAGGGGAGGGGGCCGCGGGCGTTCCCCCCACACACACTCACACACTCAATCAGGCGCTGTCAGACCTCCGGCCGCCTGGCATTTTGGTGAAGAATCTCTCAGCTAAAAATTGTTGTCAGTCCCATTTCCACGTTATCAGTGCGAGGGCTGAGGCAGCGCCCGGGGATTAGCAGGAGCGGCGAGCGCCCGCGCCCGCCATCTCCTGCCGATAACACCGGGCCTCCTGCCTCACCTCCGCCATTCATCATCTTTAGCACTGACAGCCCGTCCCCGTCCCTGTCCCCATCCCCTCGCGTTTCCCGCGTCTCCCCACCGTGCTGCTCAGCCTGGCTCCTGACCTCCCCGGGGAACGAGGCCTCCTGAAGAGGGACAAGATGGAGCACGGGCTCAAATGGCCTAGACCCACCTGTGGCACGGGGCTTGGCCAGCGATGGGTGGGCGGCCAGGGCAGGAGTAAGGGATGCTTCAGGAGAAGATGCTTTTTGACAGCCTGCCACCAACGGGCTTGGCCTGCCTACCTGTGATTCCTGCATCTGATGGGCAGCGGGGCTAAGGGTTTCTGGAGGCCTTTCCAGCCTGGGAACTGTGGCAGGGGAGAGCCAGAGGATGCCCCCTCCCAGGCCGAGGAAGAGTAGGGGGCCCAGGCCCTCGTTCCCACCCCCGCAAGACCACGGCCCCCTCCTCTGGGCCATCCCCAGCGGTTTTTACGGCCCATTTTATGGCCACTGTAATGGCCCAGGTCAAAAGCTTCAGGGAGCTGTATTCTGGGAATTATGCAAACGAGGAGCAGGCCCAGGGCCAGAGTATGGATTTTGTCATTAAACCTGGGCAGGCCATGTCGTTAGTGCAGTAAAACCCACGTCATGACCACAGGTCTCAATATAAAATTATAGGGAACACAGCGGGGGAGGGGAGCAGGCGGCCCATGGCCACGCTGACACCTGCCACTCCAACCCCTGAGCAGATGGGGGTGGGATGGAGAACGCAGGCTGCGGGGTTCTTCCTCGGATCCTGACGCCGGGAGCCAGGAAGAGGGCTCGTTGTCCCAACAGGGAAACGGAGGCCAAGCTTCAGTTTCAGGAAAGTAGATCTCTGTGGCAGCAAGGCAAGTGAACTGAGGGCGGTATATGGGGATGCTGAGGCCTGGTGCTAGGCGCGGAGGGAGGAATCTGGGCTCCAGGAGCCCCAAGAGCCAGAGTTGGCATTCCAAGCCAAAAGGGGCTTAAAGCCTCATGTTTCCACCTCAGGCAGACCCTATGCCTTGGATCCCCCTCTTTGTCCAGTCTCCTCTCTTACCATTTCCCCCTTGAACCCCAAGCCTAGCCTCAGTGATCTGTTTCAACAGCCTTGTCAACTGTCTTATTCATCTTTTCCCTAGCCCCCAGCAGCCATCCTCTGGCCCCTCCTGCCCCACCCAGAGCACCCAGTCATGCCTCCCTCAGCCCTGACCAGGGCTGCACCGGCTGCAATCACTACCTTTCCCTTTTGGCTTCCACTAGTTTGTGATCTCCTTGAGGCTCAGCGTGTGTTTTATTTATCTGAATTCTAGTTTCTCCTGGAATAATACCTGAAGTAGAGTAATTGTTTAAGAAATATTTGCTGAGCTTATAAATAAATGAGGCAATGAGGTCAAGAACTAAGCATAGCCGAAACCGGTTTGGCTCGGTGGATAGAGAATCGGCCTGCAGACTGAAAGGTCCCAGGTTCAATTCCTATCAAGGGCGTGTACCTTGGTTGCGGGCACATTTCCGGTAGGGGGTGTGCAGGAGGCAGCTGATCGATGATTCTCTCTCATTGATGTTTCTAACTCTCTATCCCTCTCTCTTCCTCTCTGTAAAAAAAAATCAATAAAATATTTTTTTTAAACATTTTTAAAAAAAGAAGAACTAAGCACAGGGGTCCCTTCCGGTTCTGAGCCTCAGTTTTCCCATCTGTAAAATACAGATAATGGCCTGGAGACTATCTAGGGTCTCACTCACCCTGAGATTCTCTGGCTGAGTGAAGTGAGAGGCAGAGCGGGGAAGGGGAGCGGGCGGCCCATGGCCACGCTGACACCTGCCACTCCAACCCCTGAGCAGATGGGGGTGGGATGGAGAACGCAGGCTCTCCAAATCCCCATCTCCTCACTCCAGACCAGCGCTACACCTGCTTCTCTTACTCACAGCCTGCCAGCTGTCCCCTGAGCACCTGAGGCACGGCCTCGGCACAGGATCAGTAGGGCCCCTGGCCCTCCTCAGAGACCTAGCCACACAGACTACATAGAACCTTACCTTCCCCATCCTAACACAAGCAAAGCCTCTACAGCTGACACCCCAGCTCTGCAAAGGTCAGCTGGCTTCCAGCACAACCTGCTCTTCCTCCCTCACCTCCCTCCCTTCCTCTTCTCCTCTCCCTTGCTTCATCTTTGAGCATCTAGTCTGTGTCAGGTCTGTTTTCGATTATCTATAGATATAAAGATGGATAAGAAATGGTCCCTGACCACAAGGAACTCAAAACTTATTCATTCATTCATTCATTCATTCATTCATTCATTTGCTCCCATTCTCTGCCTAGAACACTTCTAAGTCATAACTTAAATTTCATTTTTTTGGTTAATCTTATTTTTTCCCCACTCCTCAAGACACATACCCAGAATGAATTACTCCTTCCTCTGAGCTCTCAGATGACTCGATCAGGCCTCCAGGAGAGCCTTGGTCATCCTCAGGCTGTGTCAAAGGGAGGCGGGTTCTTGTGCTCAGCCAGACCGGGGAGCTCCCTCAGGCATAGCAGGACTAGATTTAGCACATAAAAATACAGGGCATCCAGGTACATTTGAATTTTAGAAAAACAATGAATAACTTTCAGTCCCATGCAGCCTTTGGGACAAATTTACACTAAAAAGTATTCATTCTTTATCTGAAATTCAAATTTAACGAAGCATTTTATATTTTTTTTAAACTGGCCACCCTCTCAGGCAACCATCTTGATCATCACCGGCACAGCTTCTTCTTTCTCAAACTGATTCGGACCTTCTCTGGGCCCCAGTGGGCAGAAGAGGCAGAGAGAAAAGTTCAGGCTTAGACTAAAGAAGACTTTCTACAGTCAAAGCTCACATGGCTAGGCAGGGATGTTTCTGGATGAATGGGGCTCCTCAACCCTACACCTGCTAGCAGAGACTAGCAGAGCCCTGGGTGGGGAAAGTGGCAAGGGAGGGGGATTAGGCATCCCAAGGGGATATACTAGGCAGCCTTCAGGCTCCCTCCCAGCATGGTGTGCTCCGATTACTGCCAGGGACAGAGTGGGGACAGAGTTTAGGCTCCCAGCCAGCCCCAAGCCAGTATAGCCAGCACTATATGCATGTGCACTTGTGAAATGGGAGCACACAATTTGAAGGGTATTTTGTGGGGGAGAGCCCAGAATCTGTGAGACCCACAGAGGCCAGTGAGGTTATCCAGGTGGGAGGTGGTACAACCTGAACTGGGAGCACATAGATTCCAGGAATATCGAAGGTGAAAACCGACAGGACTTGGGGGTTGAGGCACATGTTACTTGGCTTGGGCCACTCGGTGAATGCAAGTGTCACTAACTGAAGGGGAGCAGGTATGGTGGGGGGAGTAAAAAGAGGAAAAACTCCTTTTGGGATTGTTGAGTTTCAGATTCTCTGGGAACATCCAGGCATTGGAGTCCAAAAGGTCTTTGGATATAGGGCTCTGCAGAACATGGAGGGACCTGGGGTACAGATTCTGGAGGGCACAGGTGGGCATGAGGGCCAGAGGAAGGAACAAGGTCGTCCAGCATGCAGGATAAGAAAAGAAGGGGCTGTGGAAAGGAGGAGCCCTGGGAAACGTGAGGAAGTGGGAGAGGAAGCCACCCTGAAAGATGGCAGGCACCCCGGTCCTTTCCAAGCTTCTCCCACTGAGGGCCTCAAGGGCGGGGACTAGATCTGACGCTAGTCCGCGTCCCACTGCCGAGGGTAGACAGCGGGCAGTGTTTGTTGAATGACTGCAGGAACGGATCCCCTTTCTCCCTCTTTTCTTCCTTCTCCAGATTTCGGGAGTGTGGAAGCAGTGAGGGGGAAGGAGAGACCTGGCATTCTGGGCGATGGTATGATTAAACCGAGACCTTCACTAACCTGTGTGAAATGAAGTGATCAAGGTTTGATTGCCTGGAGCAACGATTTTCAACCTTTTTCATCTCATGGCACACATAAACTAATTACTGAAATTCTGTGGCATACCAAAAAATATATACTTTTTGCCTATCTGACAAAAAATATAGATATCATTTTAGTTCTTTCACACCAGAAAGCTATTGTTGTGTTGGCTGTTGTCATCTTTATTATTATTATTATTATTTTAAATTCTTTATTGTTTAAAGTATTACATGAGTCTCCTTTCTTCCCCTGTTGACCTCTCCTCGGCCTCTCCCACCCCCCAGCACATGCCCTCACCCCCCTCCTGTCTGTGTCCATTGGTTATGCTCATATGCATGCATGCAAGTCCTTCAGTTAATCTCCTACCCCCTCACTCCCCGCCTTCCCTCATAGGTTGGACAGTCTGTTTGATGCTTCTATATCTCTGTTCTATTTTTGTTCATCAGTTTATGTTGTGTTGTAATTTTTTTTGTTTGATAATCTAAGAGAAGATAAGTCAGTGGCCCCTGACTAAATAATCGGGTGTTGCATGTTTTAAAAATTCTCGCGCACACCGGTTGAAAATTGCTGGCCTAGAGCAGCATTCGTGCCCCGGTAGATCTCTGAGAGGGGCGGCTGGCTGCGGAGGTGCGTTCACAGCTACCGCCTCTGGAGCTGCAGGGAGAGATGATGCTCATGAGCTCTGAGACCCTCAGGCTCCCCTTTCTCAAAGCCAAGAAGCCCTAGGAGGCATCGGCAGGTCTGGGTCCGAGGATTAGGACGCTGGGTTTCCCTCCTAGACCGACCCTGCTTATATTTCTGTCTGTTCTTCTTCCCTCACCAGGTAAGAAAAAGGCAGCCGCATTGTTTGACAGCCAGGCCCCTATTTGCCCCATCTGCCAGGTCCTGCTGAGGCCCAGCGAGCTGCAGGAGCATATGGAGCAAGAACTGGAACAGCTGGCCCAACTGCCCACCAGGTAAGCCACGTAGCGGGAGGGCCTGCCTGCCAGCGGGACCCCACACAGGGTGCTAGCTACCACGTCCCAGGAACGCCGCCGGGCCCGCACCCTAGTCAGAAGGCGAGGCCCTGCTGCCGTCCTCCACTCCGTTCTCAGTCCTCCAGCGGACTAGTGCTGCCTCTCTCTTCCTGCTCTGTTTTTGGAGATGGGAGGAGAGTGACGCCTCTTCAGGAGCTAGAAAGCAGTTAGCCGCTGCCATGCGGAGCCTCGGGGCAGGGCGAGAGCAGCAGGCCCGGTAGCCCCCGCAGAAGCGCAGGCTGGTGCTGCCCTCCCAGGGAGTAAGCTCTGCCTCCTCCAGGAAGCTCCGGTCTGAAAGGTGACCATCCTGAGACTGTGTTCAGGCGTGTCCCCACTGCTTTACCTCTCCTCCCCTGTGCCTGCCTCACGAACTGGGCGGAGCCTCCTGGACAGTCCTGTGGAGGAGCCAGGTTATCAAACAGAGCCGGGAGGGGTGTAACAAATTACCCCACATCGTAGAGGTTTAAAGCAAGCATTTCATTATGTTCATGGAATCCGTGGTGTCAGGAACTCACACAGCACAGAGCGGGTGGCGTCTAAGGTCTGGGGAGACTCGATAGCTGGCAGCTGGGCTCCCCTGCAGGTTCTGTCACTTCCATGCGTGGTGGCTGATGTTGGCTGTCACCTGGGCCTTCAGCTGGGGGCTGTGACCCGAGCACCACACATGGCTTCTCCCTGTGGACCGGGCTGTCTCGGAGCACCGCAGCTTTGCGACTGTTGGCCTTCTCATAGGGTGGCTTGGAGCTCTAAAACAGACGCTCTCACCAACGCTATGGGAGCTGGGTCACCTTCAATAACCTCGCCTCAGAAGTCGCCTAATGTCACCTCCGCTTCCTCTACTGGCCAAGGCAGTGTGAGCCCACCCAGATCCAAAGGGAAGGGCCATGCACCCGCCATGTGATGGGAGCAAGGCAAGCGCGTGGGAGATCATGGGCGATGGGAGATACGGCTACAGGACAGTCTGCCACCGAGAACATCCTGCCCCATCAGTTCAATTCAAGTCATCAAACAGGGCTACTCCTCCTTCCTGCCGCGCTCTCACCTCCCACCTGTGCAGGGTGCGGGGGGGGGACCCCAGGGTGAATCAGAAATGCTCAAGCTCACTGTGTGGGAGTAAGCAGAACCAAGCAGTGGACACCCTGAGGGAGGGGGACTGCTCCTTGGGAAGGCCTGGAGCTGTGGGGGCCTCCAGGAGGCGCCAGCCCAGGCACAGAGCAGAGAAGGCCTCCCGAGAGAGGTCAGGCCCACGCTGGATTTTGAAGGGAGATTAATTATTTCTCTGTTGCTGTTATCCCCAAATTGAACAGTTTGAAACAACATTTATTATCTCAGTTCCTATGGGCAGTTCAGGAACAGCTTCGCCAGGGCGCTGCGGGGCGCTGCGGCTTCTGCTCAGAGTCCCCCGGAGTCTGCAGCCCTCTGAAGGGGTGCGGGGACTGCAGGGTCCGTTCCAGGGAGGGCTCGCTCACATGGCTGGTGGCAGGAGGCCTCCGTCCTGCTCCCGTTTCCCTGTGACGTGGCAGCTGACTGCCCACAGAGGAAGTGATCCAGGAGAGGGACTCAGAAGGAAGCCACAGGCCTTTTATGATCTAGTCTCTGCTTCTCCCAATATAGTCTCCTTTACTCATCAGACACACGTCACCACGCCCAGCCCACACTCAAGAGAGGAGGGTAAGCCTATAAGCTCTACCTCTTGAAGGGAAGGGTATCGAGGAATTTGTAGGAATACTTAACACTACCACAAAAGACTACACTGATAAGAATAATTATTATCCTGCTGAACACTCACCATGTGCCACAGCATATAGTGATATCGTAATGCATTGATTTACTTAATCTTAACAACAACAACTCTCTGGGGTAAGTAATAATTTTAACTCCATTTTACAGATGAGGAAACTGAGGAACACAGGGGTTAGGTGACCTCTCTAAGGTTGCACAGCTAATAAAATGGTAAAGATAAGATTTACACTCAAGCAAGCTTGGATCTAACTCGTGTCCATGCTCTTCATCCCAAACACACACACACACACACACACACACACACACACACACACCCCTGGGACTCTCCTGGAAGGGCAGAGAGTGAACGGTAGCACCCTTTCAGGAGTCCCACCCCTGGCCTGCGCAGGCGGGTTTCTGGGTATGGGCCCCCACTGGGAGACTTCCCCTCCACAGGCACAGAGAACAGAGGCAGAGAGGGAGGGACCTGCAGAGCCTTGTAGAAGCAGTGCGCCCCTAAGAGGGCCTGGAGAACGGGGGTCCAAGCTTTCCTTCCGCCTCCTCGGTGGGGGCCACACTATAGCCTTGTCTCCAGGGCCCCGCCCCTGCGCTGCCCAGGACGCGGCTGCTCCCATCGCCTTTCTTATTCCACCCCCACCAGGACCCTGCGCCCGTCTGTCCCTCCGCCCCCACATCCTCTCAGAGCATCCCCTACTCTCACACCCTCACCCCCGCCTCCATCTCCCACCCCAGCCCCCACGTCCATCTCCCACCCCAGCCCCCACACCCGCGCCGCCTCTCCCGTCCCTGCGCTGCCTCCCCCACTCCTGTGCCCTCACGTTCAGGCCCAGCCCGCACCCCCTAACCTCTGGCACGCCCCCCCACCACCCCACGTCTGACAGCCGGACAGCGGGATCTGCACAGCAAGTGAAATTCCCGTCGGATCGATAAAGCCGAAGCGCTGGCGGCGACGGGTCGATGGTTTTATCTGTCTCGGCCCCGCCGAGCCGGACGCGCTGACAGTCGGACCGGCCGGCAAAGGCGTTCAAGGGCAGCCGCGCCCGCGGCCCCCTCCCCGCGCCCTCCCCGCCCCTGCGGCCGCTGCCCCGCCGGCTGCGGGCTGGACCGGCCGCCGCCGCCGCCCTCGTGATTTATCTGGATTTTTAATTGGAAAAAATTTGCGAATTAATTGATTTCAGGAACTTGCCAATTAACATTGTAATTGGGTGCGTGATAAATTCCCTAGGAGCGTGTCAGCTCCCCGCGGGCTGGCGGGGAGGGCCCAGCCTCGGCTGCCCTCGCCCCGCCCCTGCCCGCTCTGGGGAGGCAGGAGGAGGGCAGGGGAGGCTGGGGAAAGATGTGGCACCTGGTCCCCGCTCCTCCTCCAGCTGCCCTCGGCGCTCTGAGCTGGGAGTGGCCTTTTACCAGCCATTTCACAGATGGGGAAACTGAGTCCTGCAGGCGGGGAGAGCCCAAATGGGGGCATTCCCCCATCCATGGCACAAGGAGCCCAAATGGGGGCATTCCCCCATCCATGGCACAAGACTGAAGGTTTCTTGCTCCTCAAGAGCACTTCCTCCCCAGCACTTTCCCCTCCGCTCCATGATTCCTTCTCCTCTCTGCTCCCCTTCCTTCTGTCCTCTTCTCTCCAAACATTCCTTTTCCTCTCTTCCCCTGCCTTTGCCTCCTCTGCCCTCCCTTTCCTCCCTCAGCCCACTCTGCCTCACCCAGGCGGGACTGTCCCTCCATCCATGTGCTTGTTCCCCAGGGAGCCCTTCAAGGGAGGGGGGGTCTGGTGGTGTGCCCCCTCCTTCCCTGTGTCCCCCCCCCACCCCAGCAGCTGCTATTTCAGATACCCTGCCCACACAGAGAAGCGGGACCTTCCAGTTCCCAAACTAAGACAGGCTGCTTTTCACAGACTCAAACATACACATGATGTGCAGGCACACGCACACACACCCAATTCCAACAGCCATGATGTGCTCACACACTCCGAGAGAACCACTTCCCACAGGCACAGGGCGGGCAAACACCTACAGGGAGAAAAGTCGGAACTCCGAAGGCAAAGGCTTACTCTTTTCCAAGTCATTTCACATTCCAGCTCAGAAGCAATGCCCACACACCCTCCCTCACCCCCTCCTCTCTCTTTCCCCTCCCAGTCCTGCGCAGGGTTCCATGAGACCCCGGGATGGACTGGTTGGAACAAGGAAGGCAGAGTCCGATTGAGGACAGCTAGTGGACGGCCTCTGATGCTGGAGGGCTGTCCCGGAGGTAAAGGGGGGCCAGAACATTGGGGAGCCAGAAGAAGCTGACGAGGGAGCTGAGCTGCAGGAGAATCACTCTGAGGCCAGGCCAGTGTGGGTGAGAGCTGGAGGCAAGGGGGACCGATGAGGAGGCTGGCCTAGCACAATGACGGCGGGAAGCCGAAACCGGTTTGGCTCAATGGATAGAGCGTCGGCTTGAGAACTAAAGGGTCCCGGGTTCGATTCCGGTTAAGGGCATGTACCTTGGTTGCGGGCATATCCCCAGTAGGGAGTGTGCAAGAGGCAGCTGATAGATGACTCTCTCTCATCGATGTTTCTAACTCTCTCTCTCCCTTCTTCTCTGTACAAAATCAATAAAATATATTTTTTTAAAAACAATGACAGTGGGAAGAGGGGATGATGAGAGAGGGGAGGAGGGAAAAGCGAGAGAACATGGCTGATGACTTAGTGGGTCCTTACTAGGAAGAGCTTTCTGACTTGGGTGGCAGGAAGGGTAACGATGGCAGAGAAGCAAATGTCGGGAGGGAAGGAGATGGTGGACAGGGCTCTGGCATGCTGAGCCAGGCTGGTGGTGGAGACTGGCTGTGTACGGATAGGCAGGCAGGAACACAGATGAGAGCTGGAGCTGGAAGGGTCAGGGGGAAGAAGGTTGCCCCAAACTCCTCTGTAGCCCTCAGGCAGGAGTTTCCACCCAGAGGAAAAGGCCTTGGATGTGGAGGGTTTGCACGAAGCTGAAAGGAAGGCTTGGCTTGGCCGGGCCTGAGCTCAGACACCTCTTCTGGAAGGCTTCCCGAGCCAATCCACGTCTGCCTCCAGACTGAGAAGCTGGCTCTCTGGTCAGTGCTTTAAAAGGGCTGGAAGGACCCAGAGGGAGGCTGGGGACCGTGGAGATGGCAATGCCCCCACCCCCACTTAAGCCTTATTTAAGGCCGGCCTCCGTGTTTGGTTGGGTAATGAACTAGATAAACAATTCCCCAAATAGATTAAAACGAAGTGTAACTTACAAAGGAGGCTGGTGATGATGGTTTATTCCCGGGCAGTGCACCATTTCTTTATTTCCAAGGATAATTCAGTGTAAATCACCTTAATTAAAAGTGTCAGCCCAGCCCATGAATATTGTACTTAGAAACGCGTTTCCTGGGTCCCAGTTATAATTTAAAACCCATGGATCACTAGGCAGCGAGTGACTGAGGCAGGGAGGAAATCGTTGGGGGCGGTCTGCGGAAACGGGGAGGGGAGGGACGGGAGGCAGAGCTGAGTGGATGGGCTGGGCGGGAGGCGGGCTGCCTGCAGCTCCTGGGCTCAGACCTTGCCTCTCTGAGGCGGGCCCTTCGCCAGACTCCTGTCTCTAGGGGACCAGGCACATCTGGAGGTGATCGGGTAGTTAGAGGGAAGGTAGGGAGGGTGTGCAGGCTCAGAGAGAGGGAGGAATCTGGGGCAATACCAGCCTAAACGAGGGAAAGGAAAGAGAATCGCCAGGAAAAGATCCAGGGAGCCTGGACATTCTGACCCTCAATGTCCCCATTTCTATTCATCAACAGAGTAAAGTAAGGCCCAGCGTCCGCGGACCCTCTCCGGAGCCCAGGGAGAAACAGATCTCTCTCCTCCTAACCCCTGGGCATGGTGAGGGAGGCTGGCTGGGCCGTGGGAAAGAGCACTCTGGGCTCTGTCGGACATGACCGCAAATCCAGATTGTGTGAGCAGAGAAGTGTCCCTTAACCTGTTAGTCAACTTTGTAAAAATCCCTGTGAAGGGTGAGATAACACAGGTGACGTACCGAGCACGGGCCAGCCGCAGGCGGCGGGCGCACCGTCGTTGTTCATTTCTTCCTTTTCTGTTCCAAGCTGCTCCTGCTCAGGCAGGAATACTGGGAGCTCCGTTCAGGGTTCCGGTGAGAACAACGTTGCACGGTGGGTGCCCGTGTCTGTATCTTCGGGGCCAAGCCCCATGCCCAGCACAGGGAGATGTCGGTGCTTGTGGACGGAGGGAATGAAAGAGTGAACGCACGAGCTACTTGCTCCTCAAGAGCAGCCCGGTTTCTCCTCTGGATCCCCCGGACCTAGATCAGGGCCGGGCGTGGAGCAGAAATACAAGGACCATGTATGAACAAAGTGTCACTGAATGGAACCTGGTCTGTCCGCCTGTCCTTACTGTAGTGCGATGCTCCCGCTGTGTGATGAGACAGGCAGACAGCTCTGCCTTACACTCAGCCCTTAGGCTCACCCTGCTGCTGAGCGGGAGGACCCTGCACTGCCACAGGCATGTCTGCGTGGGTGTGTGTCCGTGTGTCTGCCGTTGTGGGTGACTGCGTGTCCCGGGTGCGTCGGTTCTGTATGTGAGCATGCATGTATGTGGATGTGGATTGGGAGCAGCTCTCCATCCGGGTAGGGTGACTGTGGTGAACGTGTCTTTATGGACGTGTCTCCGGGAACAGGACTCTGTGCCCGTGCATCTGTTTGCTTGTCTGAGCACCGGGTGTGACCACACGTATCTACGTGACTGCTAACAGCATGACAGAGAGACAATGGATATGAGTATATCTGCCTTTAAGCTGGGGTTTCTCAACCTCGGCACTATGGACACTTGGGCTGGATAATTCTTTATTGTGAGGGGCTACCCAATACACTGTAGGATGGTGAATGTCGCCTACCCACTAAATGCTAATAGCAAACTCCCCACCCCATGGGATAACCATCAAAAATGTCTCCAGACACTGCCCAATGTCCCCTGGGGGCAAATGGCCCTAGCCGAGAAGGACTACATTTTTCTGCATCTGCCTATACCTTTGCCTGTGTGTTGGGTGTGTCCGTGTCTGACCCTGAGGGTGCTCCCTGTGTATACACCCAGTGAGTCTGTGTCTGCCCCCATGTGCTCTGCTCTGAGTGTGTGTCTTTGTGCTTTGTGGCTATCCGTGGGTGTGCTTTACCCGGACAGCTTGTACACGTGTCTGTGCAGGGACCCTGTGTGAATGGGCTGTGTCTGCTTCCGTGCATGTATCAGCCAGCACCTCTGTGTGCATGAATTAGTGTGTGTGTGGCGGGGGGGGGGGGGGGGGTGTGTGGGGGGTGTTGAATGAGTGCACGTGCATGAATGTGTGAGCACAGATGTGGTGAGCATAGCGGGGACAGCAGGGAGGGAGGGACAGGAACAGGGATATTAATGTTTCTGAAGTGGATCTGATTTGATACGTCTTGTTCCATTGTCAGCATCTGTTTAGCGGGGATTTGTAATACTTTGTGGCTCCGGATCACTCATGCTTAGCGCGGGATGTGGCCTTGCATACCAATTTTGTTATTAAACACAGTCCTCGCCTCCCCCACAGCCCATCTATCACCTCCTGCCCCCGCCCCCGCCTGCTCCAAGTCACCCACCATATTTCAGGGCCCAGCTCCCGCCCGCCCGCCGCGCCGGTGCTGCAGGGCCTGGGGCTGACAAATTGAATCAGGGGGAGATCATTCCTGGCCTAACGCAGTTTGCAGCGTGTTGGAGGGAGAATTGACAAGAGCCGTGTCAGCTCCATCACCCCAATCCCAGAGGAGCTGAGAGCAGGCTGGGGATGAGGGGTGGGGGAAAGGGGGTGCCCAGGACAGGCAGGATCTTCAGGGCCGATACCAGGGGTCAGGTAAAGCCTCTTTCCTCAGCTCCACCGGCGAGCCCACCATGTCTAGTGTCTGTACCCCCTTCCCAGGAGCCAGCTCTGGCGCTTAGCCCGATGGACACTGAGCTAGGCAGAGTGGAGCTTGGCCAAAACGGGCTGGGCTAGGCTGGCTGTGCCTTCTCCTTTTGGGGTTCTCGTGTTCTCCTCTCGCGTGCCCGGGGCAGCAAGTGGAATGGTCACCCTGTTCTCTTCTTTCTTGGCAGCAAGAATCCCCTTCTGAAGGATGCCACGGCCCCAGGTACTCCCAAGGTAGGTGGCCCATTGTGTGTTCTTCCTGCCCATCCTAACCCAGGCCCACCTGGAACTGGCTCCTCTTGAGGGTAAAAGGAGTTCTTTCTGGAACCCCAACTGTCTCTAGGCTTTCAGCCTCAGCCCGAGGCCTAGGGCTGCCCGGGTGCGCTTGAGTACTGTGTGTGTCATCTGAGTATGAGCCAGGGTGTGCTCATCTGACTTCCTCCTCTTTCAGTCAGCACATGGGTTAAAGCCAGAAATGGCCTGGGGGTGTGGGGGATCCAGACTCTAAAGCAGGGGAGACTCGAAGGAGGAAGTAAAGGGACATATAGAAATGCAGGCCAAGCCAAAACCGGTTTAGCTCAATGGATAGAGCGTCCTTGGGGACTGAAGGGACCCGGGTTCGATTCCGGTCAAGGGCATGGACCTTGGTTGCAGGCATATCTCCAGTGGGGGGTGTGCAAGAGGCAACTGATCGATGACTCTCTCTCATTGATGTTTCTAACTCTCTATCTCTCTCCCTTCCTCTCTGTACAAAATCAATAAAATATTTTTTTTTTAAAAGAAATGCAGGCCAAGACACAGGGCCTTAGAAGCCAGACGAAGGGAGGGAGGGAGGGAAGCAGGGAAGGAGGGAGGGAAGGAGAGAGAGAGAGAGAGAGAGAGAGAGAGAGAGAGAGAGAGAGAGAGAGAGAACTTTGTCCTGAGGGCAACAGGAAGCCAGAGAGGATGCTGGACTCATCTGGGGAGACAATCTGCCCCTCTGACAGACACTATGGGAGAGAAGTTTGAAAGCATCAGATGGAGAAAGAAAAAGTGAAGGACAAGTAGCCGGCTCAAAGGAGGGGCTAAAGAGGCCTCAGCACAATCACATGACTTATACCAAAAGCTCCCCATAGGGGGCCACAGAGACAGGTGGTATTGCTTCCCTAAAGGGGGTGCTTTTCAGGGAGTGAGGACCTGGGGAGGAAGACAGTGAGTGTCCCCTCCCTCACACCTCAGCATCCTTTCTCTTAAGTTCTTATATCACAGGAAAGGCAGGAATCCCTGGTCCTTTTTACAAGGAGAGAGGAATGAGTGTCAAAGCTTTGGGGATGGGTGAAATCAGTGAGGAGGGTGTAAGGAGAAATAGGAGCAAAAGCCAAGAAGAGAATCCGGGGACTCCTGCATTGGGGGTCAAGATAAGGTACAGCAGCCCTGGCCAGTGTGGCTTAGTGGGTTGGACTGTCATCCTGGACTCCAAAAGCTAGCAGGTTCGATTCCTAGAGGGGGTACAGCCCAAGTTGACGGTTTGATCCTGTGTTGGAGGCAACAAATTGATAGTTCTCTCTCACATCAATGTTTCTCTCTCTCTCCCAGCCTCTCTCTAAAATCAATTTTTAAAAAAACATTTTTTAAATCATTTACTCTTTTTTTAATATATTTTATTGATTTTTTTTACAGAGAGGAAGAGAGAGGGATAGAAAGTTAGAATCATCGATGAGAGAGAAACATCGATCAGCTGCCTCTTGCACACACCTCACCGGGGATGTGCCCACAACCAAGGTACATGCCCTTGACTGGAATCAAACCCAGGACACTTCAGTCCGCAGGCTGATGCTCTATCCACTGAACCAAACCAACCGGTTTTGGGGAAAGAAAAAAAAAAAGAAAGAAAGATAAGGTACCAGAGACAGGAAAGAAGAGGAACAGTCATGAGTTAGAAGGGGCACAGAAGAACGTGGTATCCCAGAATCCTAAGGGGGAAAAGTTCCAAAACCTCTGGTATGGTCAGCAGTCAGAGAAGCTGGAGAAGGAGATTGTTGTGTTTAGGTTTCTTAAAGGCACTGGTCCCTCTGAGCGGGCAGTTTTGGGGAAAGGATCAGTGTTGCCTCCGGGGTTGTCCCAGCTCCCCTGCAGCCTTTCTAAAGGGTGGGAATGGACTTTGCACCTTCATTCGGGGAGATCACCCAACGCACAGCAACCGGGAAGCAGAGCCCTCCCAGCCCTGAGAGAGGAGGCCGGGCTGACAGGCAGCTGTGGATCACGGAGGAGGGAAGCCACACTCTGAGCCTGGCCCGGCTCGGAACCTTCAGTAGTCATGGTTACGGAAGCAGGTTGGTCACCCACAAGCTGCCAGTTCGGCCATCACAACCACCACTGACACCTGCTACCTGAGCGTGGCTGATGGGGCTGAGACGTGGACCCCAGCAAGGCTGGTGTGCTAAGGACAGACGCGGTCCATGCTCACAATGCACGCCCCCCGCCCCCCCAGATCAGAGCCCACTGCCAGAAGGGGGGGTTCCTGCAGCTGCCCACACTCCAAGGCAAGGGCCGTTGCTCAGCCCCTTCCAGATGTGTGCTCCACCCCAGAGCTGACATTTCAGGGTCTGTCCTCTGCCTTGACTGAGGCTTTAGGGAAGCGGGTCATGGATGGAAGAGGCGCGAGGTAGAAGGTTGAAGCCAGAGACTGAGAAGACAGGGACAAGGAGGAAGGGAGGAGGAGGAGAGGGCGAGGGGGCCTTCGACAAGATTGATGGCCTCGTTGCCATTAAGAAAAAAATTAGCCGGTGGCGGCTATCATATTAAAGGGTGAAGAAGCCGTGAATTATTTTCTTAAAGATCTTATCGCTTACAATGATAATTTTACCTTCCAAAAGGCCACTTTTAATGAGGCGAAGAGCCAGGCAAAAAGTCATGATTTAATGCCGGGATTTTTTTTTTTTTCCAAAGCACATTTTACTGCTTTTTGGTCCATGTTTAAAAAGCGCCAGTGACCTTTTTTTATTCCACTTGCCCCAGGTGTAATGCTGAGGCCTCTCAGGGCTTCTAGAGAGAAAGAGGGGTGTGGGGCGGGGGCGGGGGGGGGGGAAGATACACGAGCCTGCACTTTCTAACAGTGGGGGGGGGGGGCAAGGGTACATTGTTTCCCCTCCTCAGCATCCTCCTTGGGACAGAGAAGGGGAAGGAAAGGCATTGCCCAAAGCCCGCCTCTTTTCTGAGCTGGGGGAGAGGAGCGGGGGGGGGGGGGGCAGGTCACCTCCTAGGCCTCCCCCTGGGCCGGGGAGGGTGAATAAGGGGCTCCCAGAGCAGGGAACCCCACCCCAGGCCCTTCCCAGCCTCCCTCCTGCAGCTCCAGGATGAGGCCAAGGCAGGGAGCCTTGCCAGCCAGCAGCTGGCCCCTCCCTTCTCGGGGCTCTCACCGGAGGATGTGCAGCACGGCCACGGCATGCGGGTCACATCCTACGGCTCAGTCGGAGATGAAGGATAAATGGCTGCTCCATCTTTCCCAAATTGCTTTCTTTGGGCTGTCACTGGCGATTTGGCATGGTTTTCTAGGCTGGGGAGGCCTCCTAGGGAATTGTATGCTTCTGGCTCCGAGCAGCACAGGCTGGAGAAGGGGGGGGTGGGGGGCGCACGCGTATGGATTGCTCTCAGGCCTTCAGGCCCCAACTCTGCAGCTGAACAGGCCTTGGCAAGCACCGGCGAGAGCAGGCGGAACGTGCCATGTGGTATTTAGGACGGTGATGCTCGCACACATTTTAAAGCGGACAGTTTATTAATCTGAGCTGCGGGCGTATGTAGAAGAGGCCACATAGGACTGACATGGGGGGATTAGTTTTGCTGGGGGTTTTGCTAGGGTCATCGTCGCAGCGCGGGGATAAATGGGCCCAGCGTGGATCCCTAGCTGCACGCAAGAAACTCATACATGCTGTTTAATTTACTGTCTCCCTCGCGGGGCTGCCAGCAGTCTGCATTGGGGGCCGGCAAGGTGGCCCGTAGGTGGCTTTACCCCCAACCCTTGGGGGGAGAGGGGTCCCCGGAGTCTCGGCTCACGAAGAGAAAGCACAGCATGTTAAGCGTCTCTGTGAGTAGGCTGGGAGTCTTCCCCACCCGAGTAGGTATTAGCAGGGATCTAGGAGATGTGGGCCCTCTCAGGGGCGTCTCTACCCACCCTGAGAACCAAGCCATCCTGTCCCACAACCACAGTCCCAGGACCTGGCCACATGCCTTCAGAATCTCCGGTGGCCCCTCTCCCCGCCACCCTCCTCCTCGCGGCCTCTCTCCCAAAGCGCCACAGGAGTGGAAACGAGGGGCCTGACTATGGGTCTCCTTCCGCTGAGGCCACATGTCCTTTCTCTCCTTCCAGTCCCTCCTGCTGTCTGCTTCCATCAAGAGAGAAGGCGAGTCTCCGACAGCATCCCCACACTCCTCCGCCACCGACGACCTGCACCACTCGGACAGATACCAGGTGAGGAGCGGGTGAGGAGTGAGGTCCCTGGGTGAGGGCTCTCGGGCATGCCTGGCACCAACGCCTCCCTCCCCAGGAGGCAAGAGGAGAGGCCTGAACTCCTTTTGGTTCCCTCTATGTCTAGTGTCCCTAACTGAACCCTAAAGGCACAGGGGTCGGGGAACGTGCCTTACACAGATGGACTTGAGGGAGACATTGCCAAGGTCACCAGCCTCTGGTGGGCGCACAGCACCTCTGAAGCGTCGCATCCAGCAGGATGTATCCTGTAGGGTTCAGTGTCATGAAGGACCCAGAGACAGCCCGAACTACCTGAAGACTTCACACTTCAAAACCATGATCCCCTTAGCAAGCAAATAGCCATTCAATCTGCCAAACCTTGGTATCAGGCCCAGACTGGGGAGATCAGGGGTGGGGAAGGCCGCAGAGGTTAGGGTTGCAGGGGAGAAGAGGCAGACATTGCCTGTGAGCGCCTTGGACAAACAGGGAAGGAAATAATCACACCATCCTAAACCATCAGAGCAGGCCTATGGGTAACAGCCTCGCTCTGTTTTGAGCTTTTTTTGAGATAGGAAGGAGAAAGACCTCCCCCAGAAGCTTCTCCTTCTGAGGAAAGACAGGGCGCTGCCTTTAGGAGCCCCCGTCAGATGAAGAGAAGCAGGGCCCTGCTCCAAGGAACACATGTCTATATGGCAACAGGCCTTCCCCGGAGCCCCAGGACGAAAAGGGAAAAACTGTCCTAACTCAGAAGCCCTGATCTGATGCAGAAAAACAAGGCAATGGGGACCATAGCCTGGGGTAGGGAACCCCCGTCACGGCTGGCACCCGTAAAACCGTTGCTAGAATTAGAGTTGTTCTCTCCGAACACCCTTTTTTTCCAGCTGACACAGCCTGGCGTCACGGGGCAGAGCTTAGAGAGTGGGGTGCCAGGGGTGTGTGCTGGACACCAGCTTCCATTGGCATCTCCTCCACTGGATGCCTTTGTATGGGACTCAAAACGCACAGCCCATAGTGCCGCCCTGAGGAGGGACCCCTGCACTCAGGAACTCTGGTTTGAGAAAGGCACTCAGTCCGGGACCTGGGAAACAGGACCCTCACCCAGGCCACCCTGGTTTGAGATGGAGGAGTGACCCAACCCTAGAGCAGTGTTTACCAAAGTGAGGTACGCGTACCCTCAGGGGTACGGGAAGAGTTTGGTGGGGGTACATGTTGCACCGGAGTTTGGTAGGGATATGCACTGCACCGTGCTTAGCTGCGCCTCATTCTACACTCTCATGAGTACAGGGGTACTCAGCGCTACGAAAATTATAGAAGGGGTACACATATGTCAAAAGTTTGGGAAACACGGACCTAGAGAATTCTGGTCTGATGTGGAGACAAGACTCTGTCCCAGAAAGCCCCCCTCAAAGGCATGGACAGAGCCCTGCTTCCAGGGACCCATCCTCTCCGCGTCAGTCACAGCACTCAGCCTCGCCAGCTGACCGAGTCAGACAGGGTCGCCATCAGGCCGAGGCATGGCGTGCTAAGGCTTCCGTGATTTAGATTCAGCCTGTATTCCCAGCTTCCATTCCTCATACCTCCCTCCATGAATCTTAAGGGCTACGCTCGCTGAATTAATGTTAACTACGCCCTGGTCATGCCATTCCTTTCTTGCCTCTGTGTTATGTACATGCTGCTGCTTCTAACAGGACTATTTCACCACCCCATCCATTTTTATTTACCCTTCAACAACCCACCCGAATCCCATCACCTCCAGGAAACCTTTCTGAGTTAGCTACCTCTTCTCCTGATCCTGAGGTGTCCCTATTATTGTCCTTACCAACTTTTGCTGTGTTCTCCCTGTAGGTATATTTTGGTTATCTACTGATGTATAATAAACCACCCCAAAACGTAGTGGCTTAACACACTTTTATTATTTCTCATAATTCTGTGGGTTAACTAGGCCTTTCCTTACTCCTGCAGCTCATTCAGCTGGAGTACTCCCTTCCCCATGGCCTCTCTTCCTCCAATAGACCAGCTTCCTGACTTGGCAGTGTCAGGATAGTGTCACACCAAGAGAGCAAAGGTCACCGAAACCGGTTTGGCTCAGTGGATAGAGCATCAGCCTGCAGACTGAAAGGTCCCAGGTTCGATTCCGGTCAAGGGCATGTACATTGGTTGCAGGCACATCCCCAGTAGGGGGTGTGCAAGAGGCAGCTGGTCGATGTTTCTCTCTCATCGACGTTTCTAACTCTCTATCCCTCTCAATTCCTCTCTGTGTAAAATCAATAAAAAATATATTTTTTTTAAAAAAAGAGGGCAAAGGTCAAAGCTACAAGGTGTCTTTGAGACCCAGACTCTGGAATTCACACGTCCCTTGGCAAAGTGTCACAAAGCTAACCCACGATCACGGGATGAGAGGTGGCTCAGACAGCAGCAGGCGCAAACAATAGTGGCCACGTTTAATCCATCACAAGGAGCCTGATTCTTCCACTAGACTTGGAGTCCTTCCAAGGCAAGGACCTTGTCTTATCCTTCTTGACTCCCTTCCTTTACTCAAACGTTTATCTGCATTCACTCACGCTAGCCCAATGTCCTTGTCTTCAAGGGGTTACATTCGCAAGTAGATAATTAGAGCCCAGTGTTTTACGTGCTGTGACAGGGATATACGTTTCTAGAATTGCACAGGGGACAGAGGAGAAAATCAGTCAGAGCAAGCTTCACAGAGGAGGTAATGACTGAACAGGGTTTCAGAGGTAAAGTAGGAGTTCACTTTGGTGAACAAGGAATAAAGGGTATCCTAGACCAAGGCAACACTGTATGCAGAAGGCAAGGCATACAATATAGCCCAAACAATGTATCTGAGGGACCTGCTATCAGTTCAGTTTTGTTAGAATGTAAAACACAAGGAACACTGGTAGGAGGTGAAGTTAGAAAGTGCTGTAGGGACTAACTGGGTACCCTATCACCTGATCTTTACACAATTCCTGACATGTAGTAGTTGCTCAATTGTATTGGATTTTTCCAGAGTCCTGCCTTCCAGAGTCCTGCAGGATGAACCACAGTTAACCAAGCAGTGGGTGTGGAGGCATGGAGGTCAGCCTAGCCAGAGCATGACATGCTCAAAGAGCTATAAACAGCTCTGCGAGCGACACTGGTCAGGTGGACACAGGGAGAGAGCAGGAGCGCTGGAATAAGAGCCTGGAGAAGCAGACGAGGTCAGAAAAGGCCTGCGTGCCACCCCGCAGAGCGTACAGGTGGAGAGATTCAAAGAAGCGGGGAGGCAGGGTCAATGTTGAATACAAAGATAACACTGTGTGTAGTTTGAAGGGAGAGAAACTGGAAAGCAGAAGGCCAGATGGAAGACAGCCGCAAATTCATAAAGTTCGTAAGATTACGAACTGGCACAGTAACATCCAGATAAGTACAGCCATTGGAGAAGCCCTGGGGGGGTGGCATGCCTATGGCAGGCGCTGGGCTTGGTTCCCCGGTGTGGCTCACACACGGCCCTAACCCTGGGTCAGGACGCTGATAAAACGTGAGTGGCTGTCATGAAAGTAGGGATGGAAGTAGTCTAACCAGAGGAAAGGGTATTTTTCGGAGAGGCCTGGAAGGTCTGAGGAGGAGACAAGTCTATTTGTTACTGTAGTAAGAACCTGAAAGGTAGACTCTCTGAGACCTAGCCGGCTGAGTGTTCAGAGGAAGGCAGGCGGGACCAAACACCGCTCCAGGTCCCGGGGTGAGCACACCTGGGTGAACCGTGTGCCCCTAACGAGGGGCACCGGGAAGAAGGCGCCTGTGCGGGAGTGTCCCACGTACGCCACATGAAAGTGGTGCCCGGCGGGCAGCCCAAGTGCAGGGTCTCCTCTGATAACGGGGCTGCAGAACGGGAGGGGCGGGGGCGGGGGCGGGGCGGGGTGGGGGCGGGGCTCGGGGGGGCGGCGGCGGCGGCGGCGGGATCGGCAGCCCACACCTGGCCGCCCCGGGGCAGCCTCGGCGGGTGGGACCGCGCGCTGGGAAGGGCTGGGGCGGGACCGCTGCTCTGGGGCCCCGGGTAGGTCCGGCCGGGGGTGGGAGGAACCCTCGTGCAGGCCAGCCAGTCGCTCCCGGAGTGCAGCAGCTGCTTCCTGGTCCCGGTCCGGCCGCAGCCCCACCTTGAACTTTCACCCCCGGCGCGCGACGGCGGCGGTCACATGACCAGGGCCAACATGGCCACCGCCGCCGCTGGGAGCTGAAGTGCCGCCGCCGCCGGGCAGCCGGGGGGAATCCGCTCGCATCGCCGCCCTCGCCGGCCGGGCGGCCGCGGGGCCCGGAGCGCCGGAAGCCGGGGCTGGGCCGGCACCGCGCGGCGGCCCCGGGGTCCCGTGAGAGCAGCCCCCGGCGGCTATGCCGAGGGCCCGGAGCGGCCGGCGGAGCAGGGGGGCCGGCGGTAGGGAGGAAGTAGGTTTGTTTACGGGCTGTTTGGGGCGGGACTGGCCTGGGCCGGGGTCGGTGTGAGGCAGAGGGGGGTGTCGGGACTGCAGGCCGCAGCTTACGCTCTTCTTTTTCTTTTTCTTTTTTTTTTTTGCATCTGCCCGGGCTCTTCCCCCCCAGACCTTCCTGCGAGTGCGAGCCAACCGGCAGACCCGACTGAATGGTGAGTCTCGGCCGGCCCCTCCCTCCGCCCCACCCCCGGCCTCCTCCCTCCCTCGCTGCCTGCAGCTCCTGGCTTTGCCTGGCTCTCTCCGACATTGGGGCCCGTTGGCTTCCTCGCAGTCACGGTGCGTGAGTGTGCGCTAACCAAGGCGGCCGCCCTCAGTTTCCCCGTCTGTCTAACGGAGATTATGGTTCCCAACTTTTGCCCAAGCCTCTCTAAAGGCCTTGAAGAGCCCTGGGGGGCAATGAGTGCCAGAGAATGAGGAACAAGCTACACAATTCCACTCGGGAGCCCGGCTTTGAATTTGCAAACTACTGGGACCTCACTGTACAAGCCCGCAGGGCGCTGAGAATGTTTTTCTTCCAGTTTTTAATCAGTGCCCAGTAGTGTGAATGCGGCCTCTCTGCTGAGACTTGACAATGCAGTGAGATCTGGAGTTCCCACGGCAACAGGAACTAACTCATCCCGGGGCTCTTTGAGTTATCAGTCGGCCCACATTTCACAAAGGTGATCAGCGTGGGCTCAACAGCTCTGTCTGAAAGCGCACCGTGTATGCACTACCTGGCAGGTCCCCTTCTTTTCCTCCCCCGCCCCCCATTCAAACCTCTGGAGTATTCCTATTTGCTGAGCAGGATTGAATGAGCCTGGCTTTTTGTATTGGTCTAGGGTGTGATATGTCTAGGGGTTGGCTGTAAGGGGCTTAGGGTCTCTGGGCCAGCTGGTAAATGATTCCCAACTCCTGCCACTTAGTTTCTGCTGCCAGGCTGAGCCTCATTCTGGGAAAGGGAAAGCGTTCGTTATGGGCTGACACCATGTTGAGCATCATCATAACACTAATAAGAGGACGGTGTTAACACGTTTGTGGGTGTTTTTTTGAGGGGAGGGGTGTTAATATATTTTACAGAGAGGAAGGGAGAAGGATAGAGAACTAGAAACATCGATGAGAGAGAAACATTGACCAGCTGCCTCCTGCACACCCCCTACTGGGGATATGCCTGCAACCAAGGTACATGCCCTTGACCGGAATCGAACCTGGGACCTTTCAGTCCGCAGGCCGACGCTCTATCTATTGAGCCAAACCGGTTTTGGCTAACACACGTTTTGTAGATAAGGAAACAGGCTTGCAGAGGTGACACTGATTTGTTTAAAATCACGCAGCTGAGATGGAACTGAGCCATGATTTAAACTGAAGTTTGTTTACCTCCAAAGCCTGGGCTTCTCCAACCATGCCATGCTATCTCCATGGCAAATCGGACTTGACCTACTCAGAGGCTGCCTCTGGGTAGGGAGTGAAACTTTCCCTACCCCGGAAAGTTTGGTTATTTTTGGTGAGAAGATACCCAAACCTACCTTGTTTATCAGAGAATTTCCCGGTGATGGTTAATCCATCAGGGTGCTTTCCCGGAACTACAAGGGCTCATCTGTTCTGGGTGGCCTGGGTAAGGAGTACCCACTACCGTGCCCTCTTTGAAGATTCTGTGAGAATCATTTCTTTATTCAGTCATCACAGTATTGATTATAGTCCCCTTATAGGCCCTCCTTCGGGCCCTCCTATTAGGCATGATAGGTAAAGGACCTTTTTATTCTCACACTGCTTCATACAGACTTCTAGCACTCTCAGGGTCCTTTACTCCATGCCTTTCTGATATCCCTTCTCCAGCCCAGCTCTGTCTCTAGAGCAAAGATTTTTCAACCTTTTCATCCCATGGCACATGTAAACTAATTACTAAAATTCTGTGGCAAACAAAAAAATATATTTTTTGCCAAGATGACAAAAAAATTGATGTAATTTTGGTTCATTCACACCGGAAGGCTACTGTTGTGTTGCCTGTAGTCATATTTTTTTTAATATATTTTATTGATTTTTTACAAAGAGGAAGGGAGAGAGATAGAAAGCTAGAAACGTTGACCTCCAACAAGCGGGAGCTGGACCCCAAGTGCATATTCTTACTGCCCTGGCACACTCACGGGATCGATCTTTGTTGATGCCGATCAGTCAAGGGGACTCTTAAGACAGGAAAGCACTTTAGGCTTATGGTTTCCTCTCCTGCCTTTGCCCCTGTTTCGTTACTTAAAAAGTACCTTGATCTCTCTGAGCCTTGAGTTTCTTGATGTTAAAATGGATAATGCATCCGACCTACAGGATACTGAATTAAATGAGCTACCTCGTGTAAGGTATTTGGCCTCCTACACACCCCCTACCAGGGATGTGCCCGCAACCAAGGTACATGCCCTTCACCAGAATCGAACCTGGGACCCTTCAGTCCGCAGACCTACGCTCTACCACTGAGCCAAACCGGTTTCGGCTGTAGTCATATTTTTAAAAATAATTCTTTATTGTTGAAAGTATTGCATATGTCCCTCCCTCCCTCCCCCCCCCCCCCCCCCCCCGCCCTGGCCTTCACCTCACCACCTTATTGTCTGTGTCCATGAGTTATGCATATATGCATTCAAGATCTTTGGTTGATTACCTCCTACCCATCTCCCGCCCTCCCACCCCACCCCAGCCTTCTTTAGTCATATTTTTATTTAACAATCTAAGGGAAAAGAGTAAATAGTCAGGTATTGCATGTTTTAAAAATTCAGTGGCACACTGGCTGCTCTAGAGTGTCAAGGTGGCGTGGGCCTGAGATTTCAAGGGTTAGGGCAGTGAAGGCAAAGGAATTTAGATCTGTATCCACAAAATCAAGTAAGGCACCACATAATCACATCTGTAGCAAAAGCACAGAAAATTGGAGAGATGGGCCAGGCCATAGACCAAGGTTTCTCAGACTCCATGCTCAGTCCTGCTGGGATAGTAACTTTCCTGTTGAGTTGGGTCTTTCCAGGACTACTCTGTTTTGGAGTTGGAATGGCTCCCTGCCTCAGACCTCCAACAAGCGGGAGCTGGACCCCAAGTGCATATTCTTACTGCCCTGGCACACTCACGGGATCGATCTTTGTTGATGCCGATCAGTCAAGGGGACTCTTAAGACAGGAAAGCACTTTAGGCTTATGGTTTCCTCTCCTGCCTTTGCCCCTGTTTCGCTACTTAAAAAGTATCTTGATCTCTCTGAGCCTTGAGTTTCTTGATCTGTTAAAATGGATAATGCATCCGACCTACAGGATACTGAATTAAATGAGCTACCTCGTGTAAGGTATTTGGCTCTGCGCCTAACACAATTGAAGTTCTAATTAGGTATTAATTCTCAACTGTGCCCCCCTCCCTAAACTGCATTCATGAGCTTCCCCCCAGTCAGTGTCCCTGAGAAAGTTCTTCCTGGCCCTGCAGTGGGGAACTTTTCCTTCCTTGGCTAACTCCCCTCCCCCTAATCCCAATCCGTCTGATCCCTGAGTGGCTCCCTCTGCTCCTGCTGTTGCATCCAGGGCGGGGCTGGAAGGAAGAGTCTCTTGTTTTGACCCCTTCCTGCTTCAGTGACAGGAGGGCTGCAGAGAGGGATTAGTGAGCTAATTAGAAATGATTGCATCTCTCAGCATTAATTAGCAGTGCTGTGGGCTTGCGGTGTGCACTTTGGAATTGAGCCCCCTGCGGGACAGCATGGCAGGCAGCCCTCTGCCTCGGGGGCCTGCCAGCCCCTCTGCACTGATTAGAAATGATGGAACAGGTTGGGGTAGGCACAGTAAGGCCTACCCTCTCAAGGTACTGCGGCCTTTCTGACTCACATTCTATCTTTATGACTGGGCCTCGGTCTCCTCTTCTGTAAAATGGGACCAGTGGCCATGAGAGAAATCCTTTCCGGGATGATTCTAAGTAAGACACTTAGGGCTCTTGGCCCAGGAACAACATGGATTTTATCTGATGAGTGAACAACAGGCCACATCAGGCCCCCTGAGGCACTTTGGGTTCTAACCAAGAGTTCTCTAGAGTTGTATAGCTTGACACCAAAGAGCCCGTGGTCTTTGGACTTTAGGGGAGATACCTAGCAACGTGGAGTGTCTTTGCTCATTGGACTTCTTGAATTCTGCCGGTTCGGAGGTCTGGGTGGATTGAGCTGGAGTCAGTTGTGATGAGTAGCATTTTGTTTCCCTCGCTCCAGTCTCCTCCCCAGGTGCTCTTGGCAAGTGCCAGTCCCCAAAGGAGAAGGTGCTGCATAATGAGGGCAGATCAGGCACTGAACACGGGGGCTAATGGCTGGCAGGAGGTCAGGAGGTATCAGCTGCACTGGGACCCGGGGAGCTACAGTGACCGTCTGCCTGTTCTATGCTTTGTTTTCGGTTTCTCCATGCAGCTCGGATTGGGAAAATGAAACGGAGGAAGCAAGATGAAGGGCAGGTATGTCCCCTGTGCAGCCGCCCCCTGGCAGGATCGGAGCAGGAGATGAGTAGGCATGTGGAGCATTGCCTTTCTAAGGTAGAGGGGCCATCACCACCCTCCTCCCTCTCCCTTCCCTCGTCCCCCTGAGACTAGTCACTGACTGCCTCCAGATCTATGGGCTGTTGGGGTCTTCATGTGGTCTCAGCAGCTGCTTCTCTCTGTTTTTGCTCTTTTCCTTTGCTTTCACTTTCCCACTCCTCCCCTGGGGCACCAGTGGCAAATGATTGGGAAGAGGCCCAGGTCTGGGACCTGTAGGTTGGTTTACTTCACAGGAGCCCTAGAGCTGGGGTTGGCGCACCACAGCCGGGGGCCAGGGTTATGCCTTTCTTGCAGGCTCTGGGGGGAGACAGGGATGGCCTGGGACCCACATGATCCTGCTCTGCTCTTCACAGAGGGAAGGCTCCTGCATGGCTGAGGAGGATGCTGTGGACATCGAGCATGAGAACAGCAACCGCTTTGAGGAGTATGAGTGGTGTGGGCAGAAACGGATACGGGCCACCACTCTCCTGGAAGGTGGTTTCCGAGGTACAAGCAGCCGGCACACAGGCGGTGGGGCTGGTGGCCAGTCATCCGCTCCGCCACATGGGAACTGCAGCTGGCAGGGCTCCTTTGTGACTGTGCTGCTGCCTGTGATGTGCATATTAAAATGGAAGTATTTGGGTGGGGAAATGGAATTGTGAGGCTGTGAGCTAGGAGTGACAAGGGGGGGCTCTCAGCCTCGGGTGATACATTGAAGGTGACAGCCAAGCCACGTTAGCACCTGCATAAAATATTAAAGGGACGGTTATGCATTTATCACTCTATCCCTCTTAAGGCTGATAAATGAGAATCCAGCAACCTGATGTACACCTCCAGCACTGGGGGCCCTGAGGGCTTCCAGGCAAACACATTGGATTTTCCTCCTCCTCCTCCTCCTCCTCCTCCTCCTCCTCCTCCTCTTCCTCCTCCTCCTCCTCCTCCTCCTCCTCCTCCTCCTCCTCCTCCTCCTCTTGCTCCTTCTTCTCCTCCTCCTCCTCCTCCTTCTCTTCAGCCCCATGTCAGAGAAATCAGTTACAGAGGAGAGAGTGAGTTATGGCAAAATTTGACCTCCTGTGAGCTTCATTGGTGAATCTAATTTTAGCTCTGTTCCCATCCCTTCTGCATGGACCCCTCTGCCCTGAAGCAAGAGGGGCCGAGGCCCAGCTGCTCCCTGCTTCCCTTGGGTTCTCCCCAGTTGCTGCAGAGAGGTCTGCAGGGCCCTGCCCGGCTTCAGTGCCTTCCCAGCTCGGAGGGATGTGGTGTAGCCCAGTGGGAGTCCCCCACTCGCACCAGATCAGAGAGCACACTGGTGCCCAGGGTCAGGGTCCTTTTGTCAGACTCCTGCCTTGGGCAGGGGAAGAGGAAGCTATCTGCCTCCTGGCCTCCAGCTCCTCCCTCTCTGTGCTCAAGCACAGCTGGCACTGCAGCTTGTGGTCATTAAGCGAGCCGGTCTGCTTCCCATCTGCCTCCAGTTCTCTGGGCATCACCCTGAGAATACTGTGTCTGGTCTCAGGGGGATCTCATAGCAGCTGGGGAGAGGGGCTCTGTCTCTGGGGCCCTGCTATTGGGGCCGGTGCTGGGGCCTGGTCTTCACAGTGCTGTCCAGTGCAGACCGGCTACACGAAGGGGCTCCAGGCCCAGGTGGGTTATTATGCCTCTAGGCTCACATTATCCAAGTGTTTGGGGACAAGCCAAAGTATAAATCAGGAAGGTTCGTCAGACCAAACTGATGAGTTGAGGAATGTTTGTATGTCGGTTCACTCTGGTCCTGTCCTAGAGAAAGCAGCAAAGCCCCGCATCCTGGGAATTGTGCACAGGCGGCAGCCCGCGCAGGGCTATTCCACGATGCTGCTCTGGGTTCCCTGTGTTGGCTGCTGCAAATAGTCACATCCTCCATTGCTGTGGCAACTTCTTAGTCAAGGTTTCTTGGCCCAGAACGACCTGATGGCTTCTGGGCACCAACCAGGGCTTAAGGGGGTAAAGCTGCAGAGGCCTGATGATTTGACATGGTATTTCCCCTACACTGGGAGGCATTGCCAGCAGGTATGAGGGACTCCTAGGCCCTGGGCGGGTGTCAGTTTTCCCTGAGTGTTTACACTGTGAGGTTGTTCCTTTCAAGAATTCCTGAAGGGAGTTCAAAGAGGGCTTTTCTTTGAGCGATTTGGAGAGGGAGAATGAGAGTGAGACTTGAAGAGGGAACAGGGGCCAGAGGTGCCTTTATCTGCAGAGAATTGCTCCAGCTTTCCTGATAGAAGCTGCTGCCGCCTCTTAAACAGCTTAGTGCAGTCAAAAGACAGGCAGACTTGAAAGGCTGTTTTACAGTGAGATCAGCGGGGGCTACAAGGCAGCGCTGGGCGCAGTGGAGCGGAGGCGGCGGAGGCTCCTCGGTGGGGCAGGGGGGTTGGGGGACTATCAAAGGCAGCCCTGGCTCATCCTCACTGCCTCTGCCCCGAAAACCTGTCTGCAGAAGCTGGCCATCTGTCAGTCTGCCCTCCCTGGCCAGGACCACTAGGCCCCAACTCTTGGGGGGCTGGGTGTGGCCCCGCCAGGCGGGCTGGTGTCAGTGCATCGCATTGATCGCCCGCCGGGCGGGCCGGGCCGCAAGCCGGGCAGCGCGTGCTTAATGTGATTGAAAGGCAGTTAAAATGGCGGTGACCTTTTCAGGAGGAATTAGATTGCCTGCCAAGACCGGTTAGAGGGAGTGATAACGCCGGCTGAAGAAGCTGCCCGGCCGACTTCAGAGAGAAGGGAACAGAAGCAGGATGAGCAGGCAAGCAGGGAGGCCCATTTAAGCTGTGCTGTGTGTGCTGACAGAACAGAGATTGCTGTCCTTGTTAGATATGAAAGAATTGAAGAATTGCAGATAAGTTCCTGTATCTGATTGTCCCCTACCCCTCCTCCCAGACCAGGGCCCCTTCGTCATCCTCAGTAAAGCTTCCCATCAGGCCCACTGGGAGCTGGTCTGATGGAGCAAATCAGTTACCTAGAATGTAATCAGCGATGGAGCCAGTGGGCAAGCAGGAGCTTTGGTGGACACACCTGGCTGAGGGGAGCAGGTCTTGGAGATGGGCCTGTGTTAGTGAGGGCGTGGCCCAGATAGCTCAGACCCGGGAGTGCTGCGAGTCGGTGTTTTAGGACAAAATGAAGAACCAGAAGGAGCAGGTAAGCACCGAGATGGGACCAGCTGGAAATAGAGTAGACCTTGAAGAGACTAAGGAAATGGGTAAAGATGTCAAGAGAGCAAGTTGGAAGAAATTTTCAGTGTCTAGGAAACACTCTGGCCTTCCCAGTGCTAGGAGAAGCCCTGGGCTGTTGATTGTCGTCTAAGACCCTTAAGTTTGCTGACCTGCTACTGCTGTTCCTTCCCACCCAGTTATAATTGCATGCAGGCTCACACAGAGCCTGTGCTTCCCAGCGTTCCCCGAAAAGAGCTCAGCGGTGAGAAGGAAAAGATGCTCTGCTGGGCACCATGCCAGCCCTGGGCAGAGCAAGGGGCCTCTTGGCTAGAGCAGCAGGCCACAGGGAAAACCTAATCCTAACAGCCCTTGGAGCAGGCCTGCTCCCTGCAGTCAATGAGATACATCGTGAGTGAGCCACACCTTCCCTCATTTCCTGTCTCTAGCTCCTGGTTCTGGAGAAGAGATTTTAAGTGGTAAGATTTGATCCTTTCCCTGTATTGGTTGCCAGTGAAAGTTCCGCAGTTTTGAGGAGCCTGGAGCTCATCATAATCAGAAATGGGGAAAGAGAAGGAGGGAGGGGAGAAGAAATGGACAGGTTAGAGAGGACATGGGAATGGTTGGTCTCGGATAAGGTGACATGATGTGGGGGGCACATGAGCATTAAGATAGAGGAATTTCCCAGCAGGCTGCATAGGAATGAAGGTGCTGCACTGTGTCTGAACCCAGAAGGGAAATGCATTGCTAGAATCCAGCATTGAGCTCCTTTGGATCAAACAGGTGGGAGGGCCTCTGCCCTGTCCAGATCCTGGCTGAGGAACTGCATCTTCCTTGAGTTCCTATCTTTACCTTGAGGCTGGTTCAAAGTATCCTGGGTGAGGTATCGTGGAGCAGATAGGCAGGGCAGCTTAGGTTCAGATTTTTTTTTTAAGTGCATATGGCTTGATAAAACCAGAAAAAGGTTATAATTCAAAGGGGTGAGAGGTATTGTGAGTCCAAGGGCACAGAAAAATAGGCCTTGCCCTAACTGCAATCTCCTTGGAGTGTTGGTTTCTAAAAGATGGGAGGCGCAGGTGCTAAAAGTGTCCCCCAGCACAGCCCCTCTGCCCGGTCCAGGTAGTAACAGGTGTTGGACTCCAGCTGCTGCAGGCAGTCTTGGAATGGAGAGGGTTAGGCTGCTGCCTTCTCAGTCCTTTAATTATCACTGCTGCCTGGTGGGAGGGGTTGGAGAGGTGGCAAGGAGCAGGGCACCTCTGTCCCCTGTGACGACTAACGGGATTTAATCGCCGTTTGGAACACAATTGTTAAGCTGGGACAGAGGGAGTGCAGGCTGAAGGAGCATGTATCAATGGTTTTAAACGGCGTCTGTCTCTCTGCGTCTCCCCTGACGTGAGGCAGTGAAACGCGTTATCGAGGAGGCCCGGAAAGTGGCTAAGTGCGTTTGACACACGCCAACTCCCTGCCTCCACACTGGATAATTGCATTGTCAACTGTTCAGCGAGGTGGCAGGTGACACTGCAGGCCGATTGATTGTCCCGCATCGCAGCTCCCCAGACTGTCAGCTCCCCAATCGATGGCGTTTACACAAGACACCGTAACTGCATCTGTAACTAATTCCAGTGTAAAACTCCCCGGAAGCTGCTGCCCCTGCCCCCTCTCCCCTTTGGAGAGCACAGACCTCTGTAGGGACCCAAGACTTCCCTTTCTCCCTAAGTCCTGGTTTTGCTGGGAGCAGTAGGTGAAGAAATCAATGGGTCCATTTTTGTGGGTTTCAGGTTCCAGGACATTACAGCCCCCAGTAAACAGGCGTCTCCAGTTTCTCAATCGATTATTTGATCAATTGATTAAATTAACACTGATTTTTTTTTTTCTTTTTTCCTCCTCAATGTCCCAGGAAGAAATGAGTTTATGGGAGGGGGTTCATTTTTATAAAATTTAGACTTGCCTATCATTTCTGCACTTAACCCTCTCCTTCACCATCACTAAGAGTTCACTTGGCGGGAAAGTATTTTTCGCTTTGCCTGCCCTCCCAGGACTGGGACCCACTGAATTGAGCATCACTGACCACCAGGCTTAGTTTGCCCTTTGTGCCACTTTAAGGTGGGGCCAGCCCTAGCCGGTTTGGTACAGTGGATAGAGTGTCGGCCTGCAGACTAAAGGGTCCCAGGTTCGATTCCGGCTAAGGGCACATGCCTGGGTTGTGGCTCAATTCTCCCCCTTCCACCCCCAATAGGGAACATGCAGGAGGCAGACAATCAATGATTCTCATCATTAATATTTCTATCTCTATCTCTCTCTCTGAAATCAATAAAAAATATATTTTTTTTAAAAAAAAAAAAGGTGGGCCAAACCATATCAAGGGACCTCCTTAGTGACTACAGGGTCCCCTGGGTCATCTTGGAGATCCTGGGGCTGAGTCCCTGCCTGGGCAGCAGCAGCAGGAGTGGCAGCTTGCCTATTATCCCCCAAAGCTACATGGAACAGGAGCCAGAGGCTTGGAAAGGAGCTCCGTGCCATCTTGCATCTGAGTACCGGCTTGGGATGTTCCAGCAGCTGAGAACATAAAACGGCTGTGGAGCCTTCCTCTCCAAGCAGGGAGGGGGTGGTAAGCTGGAGGGGGCACTGTCTGCGTAAAAATGGCTTTATGGCCGTTTCTTTTTATTATGATTCTGCCAGAAGTCAGCAAGTGACATTTCATTAAGAAAATAAAGTTTAATGTGCTGGGAAGGAGGTTGGAGCAGGCTGGGCAGTACGGGAGTGAAATTGGCGGCGGCAGCCTGTTGTGAACACCTGTGGGGGTAGGGAGAAGTTCCCAACATCTGTTTCCAGCAGGGGATGGTGTCGGGGTCAGAGTAAACTGCTCAGACCAGAGACAGAGCCCTTTTCCTTGGGAAACAAGCTGCGTCATGCTCTCTGTCCTGCCTGGCTGGTCAGAGGAACACAAGGTCGCCTGGGCTGGAAGGGAAGGTTGTGCCCTGAGAGGTTTCTCCAGGCCACAGCTAACCGGGCCTTGGCCTTCCTTCTAGCGCAGGCTCCTAGGACCTATTGGAGCCGCAAGTAGCCATTATTGCTCCGGAGTGTGGTATGGTACCTGTTGTGGGCCTGGCCAGCTCTGCTGGACGACGCTGAAATCACAGTAGTGAGTCATACTGGGGCTTTAAAGCTGGTGAGGGACAGTGACAATAAATATGATTTTGGAGTTGCATAGGAAAGAGCACATTTAAAAGCAGTATCTTGAGAAGTCTCATCCATACTCGGCACCTTGAGGGTAGGGATCAGATCTTGGAACATCACACCCGAGTTCCCTAAATGGGCCAGAAGTAGGGGTCCTCAGTATGAAGCCAGGCAGAGGATGGTCCAGTAGAGGTTGAAAGAATGTTGTTGAGGTGTGAGTTCATTCAGGAAGTATTTATAGAGCAACTACTGTGTGTAGGCATTGTGACTTAATAGTAGAAGGCATGGTTGAGCCAGCAGACTGGGCAGCATGAGCGGGCATTTGTTCTGTGGAGCAGGAGGGCCAAGGGTCTAGGCAGAAATAACGGGAGGTATGAAGGCAAGGGGGCAAGAGGAAACGTGTAGGGTTTGAGAAACTACAGTGACTGTGTTCTGCTGGAACATCCCAGTCCTGCTCCAGGCCTGGCGGCTATGACCGAAGAGGAAAGGCCTTGAAGCCACAGGCTGCTTTAAGTGTTGGGGTGCCTGATTTCTCAGCTTTTCCGTGGGTTCTTGTTTTCCTTTTTGCCCAATAGGCAGGGCTGGGTAGGGTCAGGCTGAGCTGAGGATGTGAGGCTGACTGCTGAGCTGTGTGTACTTGGGGGAGGGGGTCTGGCAGGGCTTGGGGGGGTACACGCTGTAAGTGAACCTGATAGCTACATTGTGATTGATGGCGGAGTTTGTCTCCCAAACTGTCAGAGGGTTTATAGAGGTGCCACTCACCTCCAAGGCAGGAATTGCTTGTCAGGACACCTGGCCGTGAACAGGAGACAGAGCTGTAACTTGGTGTTTTCTCAGCTTAATGGCCCTGCTGCTGACCTGCCTGCGTTTGTTGATGCCTTGAGTATGGAGGTCAAATGAGGACTGTCAGAGGGGGTGGAACCTCGGCATGCCTAGCCTTTCTGTTTTCCTGGTGCTGTTTACCTCTGGGATGGGTGGGACCTTTGTCAGGCCAGAGACCAGACACAGAAGGGAGAAGGGTTGGGGAAAAAAATGTTTTTGGAATGGGCTTGAAAGATGGAGAACATTCCAGGTGGAGTGAATAGCATGAGCATTCCTAAGAGCAGGACATGGAGAATTATGTTTAAGGTGCAGTAAGTAGTCTGTCCATATGCATAGAGCTTGTGAAGTGACGTGAAGAAAAAATATCCTAATGGGCCTGGCTGATGAGCCAGGCTGGATTGTGCCCTAGTCAGTTTTGGAGCAAGGAAATGAAGGGCCAGAACTATATGAGCAGCAACATGAAGGAACAGACAAGGACCCATTAGGAGACTTTTACCCTGGTGAGAGTGTAAGAGCCTGAGAGTGGAAAGGAAGAACAAGAAATTTCTGAGATATCAGGCAGAATTCCCAGCTTCTTCCTCGCCTCTTTAAGGATTTCCTTTCTGATTCCACTCCTGACACATCCCATTGCTTTCATCTTCCTATCCTAGAAGGGCTGCTTTGTGGCCAGTGAGAAGTGGTCTGAGACCACGAGGGGCTAGTTTATGAAACCACTTGGAGCAGTGAGTTATGCAGAGTGAAAGGGACTAACATATCAGACCGCTTCTGAGGGAAAACAGGTGGGGAGGGAGGAGCAGCTTTGTGGCCTCTGACCTGGGCTGTCAGGAAGAGAAGTCCTGGAAGATAGGCCACAGGATGAGTGAGTGGGCCTAATGTGGCTTCCGCAACTCCCGCCCCACTAGCCAAGAGTCTGCCTGTGGCCGGACCAGTTGCATCTTGATGGGGTCAGCTGCCTGCCTCCGCCCAGCCTGGTTGCCTTCATGGGCTGCTTTGAGAAGCAGGTGTGCATGCCTCTCCTCTCATCTGTCCCTTCCTAATCCCTTTATAACTGCACTTGTCCAGGAATCTGGGCTGAGTGAGGTGGAGATGAATAATTAATGTCAGTCACTTCAGACACCAAATATTTGAACAGCTGCCTGGTGTTTTTGCTGGCAAGGACCTGGCAGCCAAAATCAGGATGTTGACTGGGGTCCCGCTGTATGGCTCTGACTGGCCTTAGCCAGCCTGCTCTCCCCTCTGATGGACTTCTCTGTCTGGACCATGGGACACAAGGAATGCCAAGGTCTTGGATGGGGTGATCTTGTAAGACCAGAATTTGTTCTCTTCCTGCTCTTCCTAGAGCTGGACAGCAGGCCTGGGTATCTCCTGAAGACCTGAGATAGTATTTGAAGGGGCTGGTTTATGAAGCCACTTGGAACAGCAAGCAGAGGCTGAGAAGGATTAGTTAACCAGAGCAAAAGGGACTAAAATATCAGAGGCCAGAGCACCTAGGTACCTGGCTCTCTAAATTCCAGGCCCATGTTTCTGTCTGAGCCTTATCTGGCCCAAAAGTTGCCCCCCACTTAGAGGCAACAGAAGAGACACCCTTGGCTTAGTTTTGTTGGCCCCTGATCCTCACATCCTGCTTCCCACAGGCTCTGGCTTCGTCATGTGCAGCGGCAAAGAGAATCCGGACAGTGACGCTGACTTGGATGTGGATGGGGATGACACTCTGGAGTATGGGAAGCCACAGTATCCTTGGGGCACTGGGACAAGGTGGGGCTTGTGGATAGGCCAAAGGGAAAGAATAGTAGCTAACACCTCTGGCATTTACCCCTTCTCCCTGGGGTCAGTGTCTCGGTTCTGGCCAGGATTCAACCCTCCAGGCCTGCTGCAAACCAGGATCCATTGTCCTTGACCACCATGCCAGATACACGGAGGCTGACGTCATCCCCTGCACAGGCGAGGAGCCTGGTGAAGCCAAGGAGAGAGAGGCACTCCGGGGTGCAGTCCTAAAGCAAGTGTGGGCGCAGGCTTGGGGTGGGCTAGAGGGGGGTGGGGAGCCCTGAGGCAGGGGTCAACCTGATACCCACCCTCAGGGTTGTCCTTGCCTGCCTTCGGACTCCTTCATTCTTTCTCCGTCCTTTCCTCTAGTGGCGGCCCTCCCAGCACGCGCATCACACCTGAGTTCTCTAAATGGGCCAGTGATGGTGAGTATTAACCCAGGTCAGGAGGAGTAGGGGAAAGGAGACAGCCTTCGGGTAGTGGTGGGACTCAGGCCCAACCCCTCACCGATGCTGCCCGGTCTGGCCATAGTATGAGTTGCCTCTTATCCCAACAGAGATGCCGTCTACCAGCAACGGGGAGAGCAGCAAGCAGGAGGCCATGCAGAAGACCTGCAAGAATAGTGACATCGAGAAGTGAGTGGCCAGAAGGGGAAACTTGGGACAGCAATTCCGTAGGAAGAGAGGGGCCACCAAGGTTCCAGGCCCTCTCAGTCCTGCAGCCCTGGCACACAGCCGACAGTAGGCCCAGCTGGTGCTAAGCATGACTCTGAATCGATCACTGGGCCACGGCCCTGGGAGCCTTGTTGGAGGGAGGAGCAGCCCGCCCGCCTGCCTGCCTGCACGGCGGCCTCCACCCGGGGAATGTGATGTATGGCCACCCAGCCCAGCCGGCACACTTGATTCATCTCCAGTTTCTGTTTCTTAATCGGGAGCTAAATTGGTTTCATTTTTCTTGTCCCGGGTGGCGCTTGCAGTGGGTTTTAGGCAGGAGCGTTGGGTCTCATCACTTCTAGTTGGAATTTTTGGCCTAGATTCCCTGGCAAGGGAAAGGGGACTCCCTTAGCACTTAACCCAGGGAGCCTGGGTCCCCAGGAGCCACGAGGACTCTAAATCAGCTGGACACTGTATTGCGTTTCCAGAAACCCAAGCAAGGCCAGTTCTAGCCTCAGGAGGTGGCACTGTCCAGTTTGAGATGTCTGGAGCTACTGCCTTTGGCCACTGCTTAGCTCCCGCACCCACCCTCTCTCTCCACCGAGGCTAGGTTGCCTGGGGTTAAAAGGCAGCCTCTTCATTCCTGGACCAGTGTTCCATCTTGCCTTCTGCCAGGAGAGTGGATTGCAGGCCGGTGCAGGGCCGGGTCGGTGGCCCAGGGTCACCTCCCATTTGTTTCCCTCCATTTTGTGTTGTCATAAATTCATTCCAGCCCGTTGTGGTTGATCAGTTTATCTCGGCCGGGGCCGCAAGTGCTGCTGGCATGATGTATGGGCCGCGGCGCAGGGCCCGGCTGCCCATGAATCACCGCAGCTGCTCTGTGTCAGCGCCGGAGCGGGCCGCACGGGTTCGGCGCAACCAGCTTGGGGAGGGGGGAGGAATGACGTATGGATGTTTATTTAATAATTCTCTCCTACTCCAGCTGAGCGGGGCGGGCGGGGCCATAAGGGGCGCCCACCCTCGTCTGAAGGGGCTGCTCATAAATCAGAAAGACAAGATCATTAATCAGGGATGGCGCCCGAAGGGGAGGTGGGGGCCAGAGCCAGTGGCCATCCATGAAGGTACTACCCACCCAGAGCTGGGGAAATCGGGATTCTATCCCACCTGTGTGAGCACAGGCTGGGCTGTGGAACAGGTTAGGGACTGGCTCTCAGTCCTTGAATTTGGGTCTGCCTGTTGGGGCCCATTAGTCCCTTTGACTTTTCCTTGTATACAATATGGTTTCCCACCCTAGATCTGTTTTGTAACCCAGGGAAGGAGGGAAACAGGATGTCATGGCTGCATCTAGGAAATTCTCCACCCTATGTCCTGGAGGGACTCAGGAATAGCTCGCAACCAACCTGGATTGGGGCTGGAAGCAGAGAGTAGAGGCGTGGTATATGCTGAGCAAATCCAGGATTGGTTGGACTCTGGAGTTAGATGTAGCCTTGGAGCTTTTGGAAATGGAGTGGGAAATGGCTTCATTCTCTCCTGACACCATCCTCTTTGCCTTTCCAGTTCTAGCTCAGTCTCTGGTTTGGGGTTTGAGAGTTTTCTACTCTGGGGTAAGCTGCCCCCAGCTCCATGCCTAAAGTTTCCCCTTCTCTGAAATAACCACATAGGACCTGGTAAATGCCCAGTATTGTCCTTAGAAAGGCAAGGAGCATAGCTACCCATACCTGTCTTCATTGTCAGGAATTAATAGCAGTCCGGATGGGGATGGTACATTTGGCATTGGGCAAAATGCCAAGAGAGGAGCCAGCTGCACAGGTGCTTATAAGGAGAGGGGGTGGTTAAGGCTTCCAGAGCTGGAGAATTGAGTGAATGCTCTCAGGGAGTCAGCCAGAGCCTTTGTCAACTTCCTGGAGAGAGGCAGGGCAGAGAGGATCACGGACCGATGGCTCTAGAATATCCCTGATAGAGGGATACAGCCATTAGGAAGTCATGTTGCTCGTACTACCCTAAGAAAGGTCAGAGACCAAAGTTTGGTGCTGTCTTAAGGTTTAGTTTCTATCCTGTCATAGCCTCTTCCAACATCTTCAACAAGTTCCCATGGCCTGTAAGATAAACTTCACTTTCTTCCAATTTGGCATCTGAGGTCTTCCTGGATACAGTCTCCTTTCCCACTATCACCTTCTGCTTACCCACAGGCGAGCCTTCCAGCCTTATGGGCTCTTAGGCTTGTTGGCCTTTGTTCCTATGTTCCTCGATCTAGAGACCCATCTCCTGGGTCCATTCGATATATAATAGTGGTCAATCACAATTATTGGTTGACCACAAAATCAGAGTTTAAATCCCATCTTCCCTATTCTGAACCTTGGGCAGATTACTTAATGTTTCAACTCTGCTTTAATTTCTTCCTGTATAAAATGGGAGTATTATAATCTCCTCATGGGGTTTTTGTAAGGTGCAAATAAGGTCATTTTCAATCCCTCAGTACCATCCTGGCATTTAATAAGTGCTTAATAAATTTTAGCTCTTTTATTTGTATTATTATTATTCCCTAAAGCCCTTCTCCAGTACATCTTTTCTATTCCTCCAGGAAGCATTCTTCTCCCTCTGTGAGCTCCTCTACTTTCTATTCACTTATTTTAGGAGAGGGACGGAGCACTCCCTGAGATAGTCCCACTATTCCCTGTTCAGTATTGCAGCCTAAAGAGTCTTCTAGAGGCTATAGAGACCTTGTGCAGTGCTTGGACAACAGGTGAGGACTTGGAAACACAAGTCCTTGAGCAGGCCAGACCTGTACCCCTAGGACCTGTATTATGTGGGACTCATCCAGTGCCCTCATCTCTCACTCTCCCTGGGGTTTGGACTGACTCTTTACTTGGCAAATGTTTATTCATACTCAAATGTTTGTTCATACTCACGTGCCTAGTGTGGAGCTAGTGTCCACAGCCATGTTGGTGGAGTGAGTAGCTTGCCCTCAGGGAACAGTCTAGCAGAGATGAAGACATTTGTAGTTATATTGCTGTGGCAGAGTCCAATAGAATAGTGGTCAGTCTATATTGCTCTTCTCAAGGGCTGGAAGAGCACAGAAGAGGCAGCCACCAATGGGCTTCTGGGAAGAGGTGGGAACTAACTAGGCCTCAACCATGAGATGGAACCAGTGAGTTAGGAGGTGGGGATGGACGATCCAGAAGCAAAAAGTGTCAAGAAGCCAAGGGAATGAAAAACAGTGGCATGTGTGGGGAAACTTGGTATTTTTATGTGGGTAGAGCGTAAAGAATGTGGCAGGGGACTGAAGGATGTGGCCGGCTGGGGATGGACCAAGGAGGCCTTTGTCAGCTGGTGAGGAGTTTGGTAGAGCTTTATCCTGAGGGAGACGTTGAACTGTTGGAAGTATAAATGGTCAAATTTGTAAAACTCTAGATGCTGAGAGAACAGAGTGGAATGAGGGGACTGGTGGTACAGAAGCCCTGCCATTCAGGTTAGAGGAGTAATCCATAGAAGAAACTGAGAACCTGGATGAGTGATGGCAGAAGCAGGAAGAAGTGAGGAAATTCCGGAGTTTTAGGGACTAGATGAACAAGTTTGGATGTCAGGGGGATCCCTTCTCAGCCTTTTGGCTAAGATCAAGTGAATGTCAGAGGTAAAAAGGAGGGTTTAGGAAGGAGTCGTTTGAGAATGGTTCCCAGATATCTGGTGTAGAAATTCAGCAGGATGGAGATGGAGGAACTAGGAGGGTGAGGGGTTCATTTCTGGAATGTGGAGTTTGCTGATATAGGATATGGGCCAGGGCATCTGCGAGATACTTGTATTTGAATATGTGGTTCTGGAATTCAGGGTGTGGATTGAAGGTTTAGATTAAAAATGCCAGCCTGCAGTCTGCCCAACGAATGCTGTCTTCTTTACAGAATAACCGAAGATTCAGCTGTGACCACGTTTGAGGCCCTGAAGGCTCGGGTCAGGGAACTCGAACGGCAGCTATCCCGTGGGGACCGCTACAAATGCCTCATCTGCATGGTGAGAGGAAGGGAACCTACGGGTGCCCTTGGTCAGGTCTGCCCTCTTTAGAGGGTGGGCCAACCTCAGTGTGATCCCTTCTCTGCCCACCTCCTCCCTAGGACTCATACTCAATGCCCCTAACGTCCATCCAGTGTTGGCATGTGCACTGCGAGGAGTGCTGGCTGCGGACCCTGGTGAGGTGGCATGGGGACTGGGGGATGGGTGGCTGTTGTGGGGTACTGCCCAAATGTCCTTGCTTATGCTTGAGCCTGCTTTGAGAGGAATGAGGAGGGGCGAGGGGGAGCAGAAGCATAGAACACAGCCAGAAGCCAGGACCCCCGCCCCCTCCCCAAGCTCACCACATTCTCGCCTCCCTTCACTGCTTGCTCCCTTCCCTCTACCCTCGCCCCCCCCAGAAGGGAAGGCCCACTGTGTCGTACATATTGGTGAGATCCTGGGTCAGGAGTAGCCTGGGTATGGGGAAGCAGGGCCGGGCCTCAGCCCCTCCCCCTCCCATTACTAAGCTCCCTCTGCTCCTGCCCCTGTTCTTCGCTCGGGAGCAGCCATTAAAATGTCGCCCGGAGACAGCAATAAAAGGCCCGGACGTGGGCTCTGTGTCCTGATCAAAGGCCGTGTGTAATCTCGTTAGGGCCTCGGCAGCCACAGCTGGACCCAGCCTTGTTCTCATTACTGGGGCTCCTGCTGCGGGGCTGGCCAGGCGGTTTGATCCTGGCATCCCCCCAACACAGGAGCGTGCCTGCCTGCCTGCTCACAGGCTGCCCAGGCTTCCCAGCCTCGCTGACAGGACCGAGGTGCCAGCACACACTGGTACAAGCCCAGGGCTCACATGAGCAGGCGTGCGGCGCTGTGTGCATCACCAGAGCCCTCCCTGTTCTCCCCGCAGGGCGCCAAGAAGCTGTGCCCTCAGTGCAACACCATCACAGCGCCGGGAGACCTGCGGAGAATCTACTTGTGAGCTAGCCACCCAGCAGGCCTTGCCTCAAGCAGCCCCCCTGCCGCCTCTGTGATGTGACCCTACCCCTTGTACATACTTGCACACCGGTTCCCCATGTACATACATGCACACACGCACGCACACACACAGGCCTCTGGAGCCAGAGTGGATGCTGAGGCTCAGGTCCTGCCACGCTCCCACCGGGATTGGGGACCACACCTGTTCCGGGTTCTGTTCCCAGGGTGGGGCAGGGAGGTGTAGGTGGGGTGGGTAGCAGGGCGAGGCTCCTGAGTTCCAGCCCCCAGACTGACCGACTGACAGACAGACAGACAGACATGCAAACACCAGACTGAAGCACATGTAATATAGACGTGTATGTTTACAATGTTGTGTATAAATGGGATAACTCCCGCCCTCTCCCCCTCCCCTTTGGTTGTATGATTTTCTTCTTTTTTTAAGAACCCCTGGAAGCAGTGCCTCCTTCAGGGCTGGCTGGGGGCTCGGCCCATCCACCTCTTAGGGTGCCTGCCTCTCCTCTCCCTCGGTGTCCCTTCCCTCTCCCATGTGCTCGGTGTTCAGTGGTGTATATTTCTCCTCCCAGACACGGGGCACACGCCCCAGGGACATGATCCTCTCCTTAGTCTTAGCTCCTGGGGCTCTTCATAAGGAGCTGGGGAAGGAGGCGGCACAGAAATGGGAACCGAGCCGCAGCAGGGGCTGAGAGGGGCTGGGTGAGGGTGCTGCTGGCTGCCCAGCCTTCTGCCAAGAACCATTCCTGGGACTCGAGCTGCTGTTCCCAGGGAAGCGTGTCGCCTCCCCACCCCTCCGTGGGCCCCATGGTGTGATGCTGTGTCTGTATATTCTATACAAAGGTACTTGTTCTTTCCCTTTGTAAACTACATTTGACATGGATTAAACCAATATAAACAGCTGCTGCTGCGTGTGTGTGTGTGTGCAGGGAGGGATGGGTGACGGGGCGTAGACAGGCAGCTAAGGGGTTAATCCCTGGCAGCAGTGCAGGGAAGGACTTGGCTGTGGTGTGTAAAGCAGTACAAGGTTGGTCTGCTCTGCTCAGGGACCCTGGAGCACTACATCTGTGGGAGTGGGGCTGGGACCTAGACTATTGATGGGTGGGGGCTCCAGGTTAATTCCTTATCGATGTGGAATCGTCAGCTCATTAATCACAGAAGAGGTCAGAGCTTGGGGTACAGAGGGGATGCAAGCTCTAGCCCCCAATCTCGGGAAGGGGCAGCTATAAGCTTGGGTGAAAACGAGCCTCTGTCCCTTTCCAGTCCCCTGAAACATCCAGGGACCAAAAATGGAACCACTATCACAGCACCATCGTGGCTTTTTCTATTCTGCAGCCTAGCCCAGTACAGCCACTGCCTGGTCCTCAAAGGGAAACAGTAGAAACCTCTATTATCCAAGATGGACCCTCAAGGCAGTCAACTGAGGTTGGGCAGCTAACACTGGAGATGCTACTTTGTCACGTCATCCCACAACCACCCCCTGCCCATGAGTGATCAGCATCTCACTTGGTGTCTGGTCAGCAGTGCTCAAAGCTGCAGATGAGTGCCCACCACAGAGCTTGTTTTAAGAAAATAAGATTCTGAAATTTAAAACCCCAGTGTATGTCCATTAACTCCAGACTTATTTACAACTCCTCACATGCCAGGTCTACCCATCATCTTCCCAAATTGGCTGCTTTGGACACACCAATCTGAGGGGTACCCACGGTGCATACTACAGAATCGGGTCCAGTGGGCAACTCCTGCCTCCTGCACTCTATAAAAAATCACCCTGGTTCGAGGCCAGCGGAGTCTCTTCAGAGCTCCATGCCCAACTTGATGGCTCCAAATACCTGAACACAAGGACCCTGGGGCCAAGATTCTAGGGGAAATGTATGGCCTGTCCAGGTGGAACAGCCACAGTGATGGTTAAGGTTTGGAAGACAAGTGGGCAATGCCTAGTTCCATCAGGCTGGCTCCTTTCAGGTCTCAACTCTCCCCTCCCCCTGCCTGGGACTCAGTAGGTCCTTGAAGGCTGATTATTCCCACCCTGGGGGCCATATGCCCTCTAATAGGGGACATTAACCCAGAGCAAGGCCTGAAGCTCACCCTGCTCTGGAGAGGATTCTTGAGCTCCATCTCATGGCACAGGCAGCACTGCCACCTGTTGGCCATGGCTAGGAATGCAGCCACAGCATAGGGTTCCCCTGCCAGCAGTTCAGAGGTCCCAGAGAACGGACATGATGCAAGTAGAACTGGCCGAGTCCCTCAGCCCATCAGCCTGAGAATGTCAGGGCTCAGCTCCCACCCAGAGCTTTCCCAGCCATCGTCACTTCTGGTCAAACTTTCAAATCTCATCACTGCCCCCCAATTCCCTTGATCACCACAGTAAGCTCATTCAATCAACAAATATTTATTGAATACCTATTATGTACCAGCACTGTGCAGCAGTGACTTGTAAAATGAAAGGTGATACAGAACTCTAAGATTAACGGCACCACTCCTGCCCAGAGAGGACCCAAGTGGGACTCCCTCAAGGAGATGAGGGAGTTTATTTCAGCCAAATGGCCCTTGCCCTGGGTCTGGTCTTCAGGTCTCCTGACCACCTGCCCCAGCTCCCATAGGGTGCTGCTGTCTTCGCTCTGCTCCCCACAGTTCTGAGTGAACTGTCCGGTGAGATCCATACGAATGGTGCTTCATGCTGTGGGACTTTGCCTTTCTGGGGCCTTGGAACAGAGATCACAGTCCCTGCCCCAGCCTGACCCTTCCCTCTGGCACCTCCTCACTAAGCTCACTTTCCATTCAAGGAATCAGAATAATCCTGGGGCTCATTGTCAACACCCCCCCCCCCCCAAGTTGGTTAATCCTAACAGCCACAGGAATCAGCAGCCTGACAGCTACACTTCTCCAAACACAACACTGTCAGGCTCCTGCAGAGACATGCCCAGGCACAGCGCCCCTACCTGGGACCCTGGGGTAAGCAGACCACCAGTCTCCCCGGGCAGCGCCCAAAGGAATTCTCTACTCGGGAGACCATGAAGTCCCAAAGGGCTGGAAGGACTGGGACCAGAAGAGGACCCCATCCATGGATACAGGTTGTGAGGAGTGTCAGGCATTTATTTCTGGAGCAGAGGTGAGGTGGGAGGGACAAGGGCCTCAGCAGTGGACACAGCTGCGCATGAAGTTGACACACAGGCTCGTGTAGTAGGTAGGGTGGTCACGGAGGTGGCTGACATGTGCAGAGGACACGAAGTCCACCGAGCGCACCAGGACCTGGTGTGCCAGGCGCGCCTCCACCATGCGTTCCACGTCCCTGGCTAGGACCACTTCGTCAGCCCTCGAGTAGAGGTAGAGCTCGGGCCAGCGAGAGGCCGCGTCGAGGAGCCTGTCGTAGAAGTGGGTGTGGAAGAGGGCGGTGAGTGGAGCGAGCAGGACATGGAAGAGGCCCGCCACCAGGGCGAAGGCCACCAGGAGCAGCAGGCGCAGCGCAGCAGGCCGGTGCTCCAGGATGGCTGCCAGGGCCCGCAGGGCCCCCACCAGGTTCCTATCACCAGGACCGCTGTCAAAGATGGCGCCCACCACACGCAGGCGGCAGAAGCGCCGGTGGGTCTGCAGGAGCTCCAGCACGTATCGGTACAGCATGGCCCCGGCGTTGCTGAAGACGTGGAAGAGCAGGGGCTCCTTCTCAATCTCGTAATCAAAGAGGAGCTCGAGGAGCTTCTGGGCCAAAACACGGAGTGACGGGATGCCCAGGGACTCGGAGAAGAAGACCAGGTGCCACGGGGCTGTGTATCGGATCACAATGCAGCCCTGTGGAGGGACAGGGTGGGGTGGGTGCAAGCTAAGGCCAGAGGCGCCCAGCAGCTCCAGCTTCCGCAAGCGCAGAAGCCTAGCAGCGCTCCAGGCCCTGCTGCAGCTGGGCCCCCGCTCACCGCTCACAGACACAGTGCCTTCCAGAGTGGAAGGCTGAAGAACAATCACTTCACACTGGCCAGGCCCCCTCAGCCCGGGATGGTGTGTGAGGCCTGGAACCCAGAGCGTGCTTTGGAGACATCTGAGCGGAGCAGAAGGAATCTCCTCACTCTGGTCCACTTTGTCTCCCTCCCACCCATGATCTTGCACCCTCATCTACTCAGCTTGCTGCCTGGCTGGCCATACCCTGTGGCTATACCTCCCCTTTGCACTGTGTCTACCTCCCAGGCACAAGGAGGTAGGTACCTGGTAAGATCCAACAGGAGACACAGCCTGCAGGCCCCAGTCTTGACCACTAGAGACCACTCATGAGCCAGACCCACATCAGATCAGTCTCTGGCCACTGCTACCTTCCTACAGGGCTCTGAGAGCAGGCCATACTTTCTGGCATCAGGTGCCTGGCAATCAAATCTGGTTCCAAGGCCTGGGATCATTCCTCCCACTTGCCCTGAAATTCCCTGTATAGTAAGCACTATTGTTCCTCAAATTCTAAAATCTGAGCCAAATTCTCTCTAGGTTGATGTACCCGTAAATATGTGGACCAAGTCTCCAGGCTTGAGTCCTAATCCCTCCCATTAACTAGTTCTAGAGCCTAAGGGCCTCAGAGTTAGGCTGGCTCTAGGGTCCGGCAGGGCTGGGTTCAATTCTGAGTCTGTGTTTCCATCCATCTCTTAGGGTTATGGTGAAAATGAAATGAAAAAATGAATCTCAAGTGCCCCAAACAGCACCTGGCACAAAGTAGATTCTCGACTAACAGTAGCAGTAAATCATGATGGCAGGACTACTCCTTAATGACCCATCACCAAACAGGGATGGTCAGCTGAGGTAACTTTTGACTTCCGCCCTCCAATCTGACATTTGCCCAACTGCTCCTGGCACTGCTCTTACCAAGGCCCTGGCATCGGAGGGAGTCCTGGTGCCACCTGGGCCCTCAGCTATGGAAATTTCACAGAGTGCTCTGTTCTCACTCCCCAGGAGGATGTGAAATGTCTTCCCACCCACCCCCAACCCACACACAGCACATCCCACCTCACTACCACACATGTGACTCCTGGACTAAACAAAGCCCGTCCACCACACACCCATGGGTGCAGACAACCAAAGCACCCAACGCTCACTAGGGTGCACCCACCGCAGCACCTGGGAGTGCACGGAGAAGCACAGCTGCCAACACACACCCACAAGCACATATACCACTGGCGAGCACACACGTTCACGGTGCACTAACTTGAGGGAGCGCATGCGAACACACACTCCTCCCCAGGAGAACTACCTGTCGGTTCGGACATAACCTCAGCAATTCCTGTGAACACCATCTCTGAGGGCACACATGGCGTCCCTCTAACTCCACATCCCCTGTGATTCACACAGAGCTCGCCCTGGGAATTCCCAACACTTCCTGTGAAGGGCCCACACACACCAGCTTCCCTGTGCCCACAGGTCTGGGCTTCACTGGGAGGTTCCAAGGTGCCTGGCATCTCTGCTGCCACCTCCCCTGTCAGATGCTCCCGGGAGTTCCTGCACCAAAGACCTGGGTCTCACTGCATGTCAGATCCCAGTCTCTTCTCTCCCCCCCAAAGCCAACCGTCTTTCCATCTCTGCACATGCTCAGTCCCAGGACAAGGCCCTGCTCTGTCACTCCTCACCACTCTCTCCTATATTCCAGGCTCTTCCTCTCTCTAGATTCCTGCACAGACTAATCTCATTAAAAAAAAAAAAAAAAAAAAAAAAAACCTTCTGCTTTACACCATGTTCCCCTCTAACTCTATCTCACCTTTTCTTCACGCTCCTAAACAAATCCTGACAGCCACCCTCCTCTCCACCGCTTCCCTTCCACTGGCTCCAATATGACGACTGCACTGCTCTGGTGAAGGTTGTCATCTTCTGCCAAATGGTCTAACCCCGTGGTCGGCAAACCGAGGCTCGCAAGCCACATGTGGCTCTTTGGCCCCTTGAGTGTGGCTCCTCCACAAAATACCACGTGCGGGCGCACAAAACTTTGCCGACCACTGGTCTAGCCCCTGAGGCTTTCAGTCCCCTGGTACCTCCGTCCCAGCAGCATCGGGGTCACACTCTCCTAGATGTATTCTTGGGTAGCCGGGCTCTTCAATAAGTTCTAGACTTAAAAGAAGGCCAAGGAATTAGATGCAATGGGTGATCCTCAATTAGATTCTGATTTGGGCAAATCAGCTATAAAGGACACTTTGGGGACTATTAGAGAATCTGAATGTAGACTGGAAACTAGATGAGAATTTATTAACATGAGAAGGTGGAGATCAAAATCTGAAAAAAAAGTAGGCCGTAAAATAGTATAGTCAATAGATTTCATTTAGGTAGAGGAAAGAAACACACACAGAGAGAAAAAATCGGAAAGGATATATACTAAAGTGTAAACAGAGGTAATCGCTAGGTGGTAGATAACTGAGTTTTATTTTCTTTTAAATAATAAAGCAGTAGGAGTTTGGAGTTGAGGAAAATTTTTCTCCAAACACATCCTGACCTCCCAGCTACCAGGTAAAGGCCCCCGTCCTTTCCCAGACAACCCCTCCACTGGCCCTGCCACCTCAGCTCTCTGCCTTCCCAGCTCTGCTCCCTCCCTTTCTCCCCGTGCCTCTGCCTCCATAACATCTTTCCTCTCACCCTCTATAGTGGCCGTTTCCCAAAGACTCTGGATTCCCAAACTTCCCTGGGTCTTCTTGTCCCTCTTTGGCCACCCCACCTCTCCTCAGAGGACCTTCTCCGCCTTCCACTCCTTTAGCTCTGGCTCCTCAGAGCTGTCTTAGGCCCCCTTCTCCTTGCCCTCTACACACTTCCTAAGGAAGCTCATCTCCAGGACCTATGGCTTCTCCTCAGGGTTCCTTGTCTCAAAAAACACCGCCCTCTACTCAGGAACTGCCGCAGCCAGAGCCCTGGCATTATCCTGGACCCCTCCCTACTCCTGTGCCCACACCCAAGTGCTCACTAATCTACCATTCCACTTCCTACCAAGCTCCCTGATCCATCAACTTCCCTCCACTGGCACCACCAACTCCAAGGTCCAGCACACCAGCCCCGGTTCCTGCTGCCCAGATAGGCAGTATCAGCCAACAGAAATGAGGTCTGGGCGACTCCACTACCGGGAGCACATCAGGGCTGAGCTGTCCATTGTGGGGGATGTGGAGGGAGGAAGGGGAAGGAGCACATCAGGGCTGAGCTGTCCATTGTGGGGGATGTGGAGGGAGGAAGGGGAAGGAGCACATCAGGGCTGAGCTGTCCACTGTGGGGGATGAAGAGGGAGGAAGGGGAGGGAGCACATCAGGGCTGAGCTGTCCACTGTGGGGGATGAGGAGGGAGGAAGGAGAGCAGGTCAGAGGGCTAAAGGAGACAGACCAGGCCACAGAGCTGGCAGCAACGAGGGGATAAACCTATCAAAGACCCATGACCCCAGCATCTTCCTCACAGGCCTGTTCCTATCTTCACTGCAGCCCAAGGGGGCCTCAGCAAGCTGTGTCCGCAGCCTGCAGTACTCACCCTTTTGTGGTAGATGGCACTGTACTTGGCAAGGTTCTTGTCCGTGCAGCCACCCCAGCCCAAGAGAATCACCAAAGGCTGTCGAGAACCACCTTGGCTTGGGCTGTTCTCTGAAACAGACAGGTTACTATCAGTACTGGAGCTGGGGTTGGGGGTGAGAGTGACTGGCTGCAGGCAGGGAGCAGAAGATAGCAGGTCCAGGCACTTGCTAGCCCCTATGTCTCGGGTTCCCACAGGCTCCCTCCTCTGCCCGCTGCTTCAGGTGGCCTCTCAGGAGGCAGGCACTGCAGTGTCATTGGAAAAACCCACCTGAGACTCTCTTTAGTGACTCAGAGACACAACCCAGGTGAGAAGAGTGAATACTTTCTCCATGCAAGTTCACCTTCTAATCCAGGGGCCGGCAAACTACAGGCCAAAGCCAGCCATGGTCTGTTTTTGTATGACCTATGAGCTAAAAATAAAAATACTTTTTACATTTTTAAATGGTTTTAAAAATTCAAAAGAAGAGGAGTATTTTGTGACACGTGAAAATTGTAAGGAATGTAAATGTGAGTGTCCACAAATCAAGTTTTATTGGAACACGGCCATATTTATTCATTTACTTCTTGTGTATGGCTGTTTTCATGATAACACAGCAGAGCTGAGTAGTTGCAACAAAGACCCTATGGTTCACAGAGCATAAAATACTTGTTGGCCCTTTACAGAAAATGTTTACCAGCCCCTGTTTCTAATTACACAAACAGCTGGAAGAAGAGGGTCTTAGTAAGGGAAATGGTGGCACAGTGTAAGCAGAGAGGGGGAGCAGATCGACTCCGAGGCCCATTCCAAACTTGCCAGAGCGTATTAGCTGATATTCAATGAGGTTTAACCTCATAACAACACTCAGAGGAATGTTATTACGGATAGGTAAATTGAGGCACAGAGTGGATAGGTTGCCTAAGGTCACACGGGCGCCTGCTCCTCATCCATCAGCTCTGTCCGTAACTGGAAGCACGCCTCCTCCGGTGATGTGTGAGCACCAGCCAGCTGTCTGCTCTGTACCTGCTCCTGCAGGGCCTCCCTGCTACCTGGTTAGTCAGAGCCCACCTCGCTTCCCCTGCCAGGGAGTGCCACCTCCCAGGGGGACTTCTGTGCAGGGACGGCTAGTTATCTGCCTCCCGAAAGGGGCTGTGCCCCTTCCGAGGATCAAGCCCCTTGGCTGTGTTCAGCTGCCACCCTGAGATTTACGGAGGCCGGCGGTGACCTGGCAACAGTAAATTTCAGGGCTAGTTAAGAGGATGGTAAATATAAATCACTAACCTTTGGACAAAAGGAAGACAACAATTTCCTGTGGAAATTAATGTGATTGAAAAGTTCAATGTTCCTGCTCTCCCGCAGCGGTGACTCCCGCCTTCGGAGATTAACTGCCTGCGCCGCGGGGATCCCGGGCTGGGCTGCAACTCAGCCTGCAGCCGGAGCTGCCAGCGCCTCGGGCCCTCCCACGGCTCTAACTCAGGCCCCTCTGAACACCCTCACTCCTCACTGGGCGTGGTGTCCCCCGTCCTCCGCCGGAGCGGCTCTGGTCCGGATCTGCCTTAGAATCTCCAAGATCCAGCAGCTGGCTTCTGAGACCTACCCGGGAAGGTTCAGACAGCTCCTGCTGGGCCTCGGACTTGCCCCTTCTCCAACGGCTGGGTCTTCTAACTCCATTTTGCTCCACTGCAGGTTGTACTGGCACAATGGGCTTCACCAACTCACAAAGGAATGACTCTCCCCCGCCCTTGCCGAAACCGGTTTGGCTCAATGGATAGAGCGTCGGCTCGGGGACTGGAGGACCCGGGTTCGATTCCGGTCAAGGGCATGTACCTTGGTTGCGGGCATATCCCCAGTAGGGGGTGTGCAAGAGGCAGCTGGTCGATGACTCTCTCTCATCGATGTTTCTAACTCTCTATCTCTCTCCCTTCCTCTCTGTACAAAATCAAATAAAATATATTTAAAAAAAAAAAAAAAAAAAAACTGGAGGAATGACTCTCCCCCAGATACGCATCTCCATGAAGAAGCTCAGCTTAGGGACACCATGAACACCCTGCCTACTCCCAGAACCAAGCTTTCTGTCATGGTCCTAACAAGGGGAAGTGGTCCCTCCACTCCTGCCAGGCATTCAAGGCTGCCCGCTGAGCCACAGGTACTCTGCACCTGCGGGCATCTCCCACTCCCCAACACATTCTCCTCCCTGGGCCCTACTTTCTTTCTTTTTCTTTTCTTTTTTTTAATAAATTTTTATTGTTCATATTATTACAAATGTTCCTCCCCCCTCCCCTCCATTGCTCTCCTCCACCAGGTTCCCACCCCACCCTCTGCCCTTTCCCCACCCCCCATTGTCCCCATCCATAGGTGCACAGTCTATGTTCAGTCTCTTCTCACATCCCCCTCTCCCCTTTTCCCCAAGAATCGTCAGTTCACTCCCCTTCCATACCTCTGATTCTATTATATTCAACAGTTAATATTGTTCATCAGATTTTTTTTTAATTTCCTTGGTTTTTAGATTCACTTGTTGATAGTTACGTATTTGTTGTTCATAATTTTTATCTTTATTTACTTTCTCTTCCGAAAGAATCCCCTTCAGCAATTCATATAATTCTGGTTTGGTGTTGATGAACTCCTTTAGCTTTTTTTTATTAGTGAAGCTCTTTATCTGACCTTCGATTCTGATAGCTTTGCTGGGTTCTTTGGCTGTAGGTTCTTACTATTATATTCATCACCTTGAATATTTCTTGCCATTCCCGTCTGGCCTGCATGGTTTCTGTTGAGAAATCAGCTAACAATCGTATAGGTGCTCCTTTATAGGTAACTACCTGCTTTGCTCTTGCTGCTTTTAATATTCTCTCTTTGTCTTTTACTCTTGGAATTTTAATTATGATTTGTCTTGGTGTGGTCCTCTTTGGATTCCTTTTGTTTGGAATTCTGTGCGCTTCCTGGACTTGTAAGTCTAATTCTTTCACCAAGTGGGGGAAGTTTTCTGTCACTACTTCTTTCAGTATGTTTTCAATATCTTGCTCTCTCTCATCTTCTGGGACCCCCATAACTTTGATGTTGGTTCGCTTGAAGTTGTCCCAGAGGTTTCTTACATTATCTTCAATTTTCTGGATTCTCTTGCCTTCTTGCTTCTGTGGAGGAGTGTCTTCTGGCTCTTTATGTTCCAAATCTTTGACTTGATTCTTGCAATCTCCCATTCTGTTTTTAGGACTCTGTATAATATTTTTTATTTCAGACAATGTATTCTTTATTTCTTGTTGATCCCTTATCATTTCTTGTTGATTCCTTATTAGTTCTAGTTGATCCCTTTTCATATCCTCATAGGTCTTATCGACCTTTTCTAGGAAATTCTTGAAAAACCTTATAAGCGTAGATTTGAACTCTATATCCAGTCGCTTTTTGTCCTCCATTTCTTTCGTTTGTGATCTATTTCGTTGTCTCGGCATTTTAAGTATTTTCACAGCTTCCCTGATGAGGCGGGGTTTCAGGATAGAGCCTACAGCCTTGGCTTCTGTCAGCCCCGCCCTATGCGGCTCCTGAGTCTTAGTAATCCCCAGAGTCCTTCAGTACTTGCTGCAAGCACTTCTGAAAGATGCCCTCAATTTTCACCTGCTACCAAACAGTCTAGGCTCTCCCCCAATGAGCCCGGAACTGGGGTTCAGTTCAGTTGGAAGTGGAATTGGAAGTGGGTTCAGTGCAGTCCGGAGTTTTTGTCTCCTTCCCGCCAGGGCAATCCCGCAGCACAGCCAACCGTCCCTTCTCTGCGCACAATGTGCGCGCCTCCAGGACCTCCTTTCGCAGCTCCCCCAGGGTTCCGCCTTACAGCCCAGCTCCCTATGGATGAGCCTGGGTCCCTGGGGTCTGGCTTAGAACTGGGGTTCAGAGTAGTCAGAACTGGGGCCCAGCACTGTCAGAGTTTTTATCTCCTTCCCGCTAGGGAAGGCCAGACAGGCACTCAGCTTCCCTCCTCTCCGCTCCGTCCTCTCCGCGCGCCGCGCGTCTCCGTACCTTAGGCTTTTACAGCTCCTCCGCTCTTCCTTCTGGTTATCTCCTTGCTTCTCGTTGTAGAATTTCCAGTCAGTCGACTTTCCTGTAGTTCTGGGTAATGTCCATTTTATATTTTAGTTGTATTTTATTGAAATTGTTGTCTGCGGCTGCAGCCATCTTGGATTCTCCCCCAGGCCCTACTTTCTGTGCCCGCTCTTAACCCAGAGCCTTTGGCATGACCTCCTCCCCTGGAGTCACACGGCCCCTTTGGATTCCACACGCCAAGTGCTGAAACCCAGAGAGCCCGGGGTGCTCTGGGAGCACGCTGAGGGACAGTGACCAGGAAAGGCCGCCCAAAGGAAGACGCACTTGCTGTTCGGGCCTTGCAGGACTAGCGGGAGCATGCCAGGGGCAGAGAGGGCAGGGGGCAGGGCTAGGAGACATTATAATCGGGCTGGGGCACAGCAAGCAGTCCCGGGGGCTAGCCGCCGAGGTGAGGGAGCAGCACCAACGGTCAGGAGAGCTGCCAAGAGGGGGACTGGAGCCCAGTCCTGAGGGCCTTCACGCCATGCTCAGGAGTCAGCACGTTATTCCACAGCAGCTGAGAACGAGAGGAGATTCCGGAACTGGGGGGACAGCATGATCCAATCTGTACTGATTAACGACTCCCACAAATGTTTGTTTAATGTCGTAGCCAGTAGGCTCCGTGAAGGCGGGAACTGGGTATGTCGTGTTCATCACCACACGCCAGTTCTGAGGCTGGCACATTCGGGCACTCGTGCTGAAGGAACACCTGGCTGTGAAGGATGGATCCGAGGAGCGTGCAGGCATTCTTCTCGTTATCCATTGCCCCTTCCAGTCATAAAAGTAACAGCGATGGCTATTGTTATTTACGGCCACATCGGGACCATGATTCCTGCACTCTGCGGAAGCCCTGCTCCTCTCCCCTCCCCCCGCTGACATCTCTCGGCCTCCAGCCACTCTCACCTTGGGCACCGAAGACAGGCACCGGCTCAGCCTCCCGCACACACTCCAGGCCGGCCATGGCCCACCTGTTCCCAAACCATGAACCTCTCTGGAGTCCACGTTTCCTCCCAGCTCCTGCCCT